GCATTGTAAACAAGAAAATGATATCTGAAATTTTAGAAAGGTATCATTAGTCCTGGAAATAATGGTGTAAAATGTCCCCCAAATACTGCATACTAAACTTAGGCTGCCTGTTTACAGTTAGCTCTGTTTGAGAACAGACACTAAGCTAGTTGACCAACATTTTATGTCCTAAATCAACGATTTTAGTCTAAAACACTAATCATACTTCAAGAATTTTGAGAAGTATTTATTCTGCTTCCACATAATGTAAATGAATAGGTTTATTTAGTCTTTGTGTGTTTGTCAGATGTGAAACGGAGTAGAATCGCATTACAAAACAATATACTAATTTTTGGATATGGCGGCCATTTAGGACAGATATCTATTCTTGAAGTATGAAGTAGATGGATCTCTATGTGCAGAAAGCCAATATAGTACCTGACAACTTCGACATTGTGCCAGACAGGTACATGTATTTATCAATCTGATTACAATACACATCTATATTTCGTTTCGTTTTTTTATACTTTCAATGGCCTACACTACATGAAGATCTGACCGGTTGTAACGATAGGTCGCGTCAGAGGTCATACGAGCGACTTTTGACCCTATGACGTCAGACATTTGATTAACCAATCAGCATTGATGTTACTAGTGGAAACCCACAGTTCTGTGCAAAACACGCCTAAAGCTCGCCATAACTGACCGTTTCATTGGCTAAGCACTCACACCATTCAGTACACGTCAATGATAACAACTCTTGCAGATCCTAGTGTAGTAAAGACAAGTAAAACAAAATTTTGAACTATAAAAACGAAAAGAAATAGGATCTGTGTTTTTATCAGATTGATGTATTTATAATATCAATAAAAACACAGCAAGAAAGATAAATTTGTGCCAGAAAAAATGACAGATACCAATTTGATCCTGTTTCACAAATTTTTAACTAAGATAAAATCCAAATTTTAGTAATTTGATTGGACAATATTAGATCAATTTTAGTGCTTAGCCAATCAAAATTGAAGTATCTACTAAAATTTGGATTTTATCTTTAGTTAAGATTTCGAGAAACAGGACCCAGGTCTTACAAAGTCTGAATTTATGAGAGAGAGAGAGAGAGAGAGAGAGAGAGAGAGAGAGATGGGGTTTAACATCCACTCGACACAAACTAGGTCATTTCGGGACTAACATATGGTTTAATTTTATTTACATAATTCGCTTGCACGTAGGGGTCTTTAGCAGTGGGAGGAAACCGGAGGACCCGGAGAAAACCCATGAGGTTGGACAGGCGACCCTACTCCTTGCCACGTACAACCGGGGATTCGAAACCACGCCAGTCGACTCAATGACAGACTTTATGATACAGCGCGCGCACGCTAACCATTCAGCCATCCAACCCCCCATGACTTGACAGTGACACAACCGCAATTAATCTACTTAGCTTATGACAAGCAGACACTCTACTTACTAAGCTTCAAATACACTTTTTGTTTCATAATTTTGTTAAGCTAATGGCACTATGGTATAGAAAAAAGTTGGACATGTGATTTTTATAATTAATTTAAACATGCCTTTAATGAGGTAATAGTGAATATTATTCTCACCTTTCATTAAGTTTAGCTAAAGATATGGCTTTTATAATATAAACTACAGCTTTGTCTAACTGTGCCTACAAATAAATCAAATTATAAATGTATTTTGAGCAAATTAATCAATGAAACAATATTAACAAATGCTTTAAGAAATATTTTTTTTTTCGCATTAAAAAAATTAGCCCATTAGAAGTTTTAATAATAAAATTTTTCAGGTCATAAGTCGATACATTTTTCAGCAGAAATCCGGCAGTCGTCTTATACTCCATTTTGACTTATATACGGAAGGTAAAAAAAAATGACATTGATATTATAGAAATTAAAAAAGCGATCGTTTTTATTTCTGACTGCACTGACTGGACTAACAGATTTTCAACTGTTTTCAAGATAGTCCACACAATACATTGATAATATAGAAATTAAAAATGTGATCATTTTTATTTCCGATCCAGGAGTCAATTACAAGTTCCTGTCATTCATAATGTACGTTCAGTTTAAAACTTACCAGACTATTAGCATCATGCGGTGCCATGAGTTGAGCTTGACATAAATAGGCTCGACCAAGAAACTGGTTTGCTGGTGGAGGTTTCATAAAATACATCTTTAAACATTCTCTTGCCATATCCACCAGACCAAACTAGAACAAAGAAATATAACATCTGTGATAGTGAGAGAGGGAGAGAGAGAGAGAGAGAGAGAGAGAGAGAAATGTGGTTTAATGTCTACTCGACACAAACAAGGTCATTTCGGGACTAACATATGGTTCAAGTTTATTTCCATAATTCACTTGTGCGTAGGGGTCTTTAGCCATGGAAAGAAACCGGAGGACCCGGAGAAAACTCACGAGGTTGGACAGGCGACCCTACTCCTTGTCACGTACGTACAACCGGTGAATCGAAACCATGCCAGTTGACTCAATGACAGACCTTCTTATGATGCAGTGCACACACACTTCGGCCATACAACCCCCCAACAAATTTCACTAAAACAGTCAAAGTGTAAGGCAAACAAGGTATCAGGTTCTCAAAAGAAAAGAATATGGTCAGTATGAAAACTATTATTAATATTGTTATTTACCTGGAAAGCAATTTCTGAACACACGACATACAGATCTGCAGTAAATGCTTCTGTTTCATCAGTTGATGGTCTAGATTTTGCCACACTACGTAAAACATTGTAAGCTTGTAACAAGGCCTGGTTTTGATTTGTGCCTGAAAACATCAAAACAGTATAAACATCTTAATTCTTGCAAACTTGTTTTGTACATATATACTGGCACATGATTTGAAAGAACATTTATTGTATTTGTATTACGCTGGATGGGAAGTGAATACAGTGTTTCTATAAATACATATTTTTTTCCTTATATAATTTTTTAGTACCGGTACACCAGAAAATCCTGAGAAACTTTCTTGAACGACAATGGGATAGAACCTCCTATGTCACCAAGCAAACGTGGTTCCATTTTGTATTAGATTACTTCCCATTTATTTACAGTATTAATATTTATTATGAGCCAAATACTGATGCAAGTCCAGGCTGTGGCACAGAAGTAGTTTTATTGGATACTATAATAATTGTGGGAAGTAATTAAATTAGAACACTTTATTAGTTATATTAAAAACAATTTTTATAAATATAGATCATCCAATGATATTGCTTATTTTTTCACATTCACATCATTGTGTTTCAAAATATTCAAGTGATGAGTTATCCATCTAAGACCATTGAAGGAGCTATAAGCTATCTCCATTCTAAAATGGATGAAAATAGGTAAAAAAAAACCTCCACATATTAATGCATGTAGGCCTATGAATGTATAAATACTGATTTACATATTATGTTTTACAACTTTTATTGTAATTTCCTATCAGTTTTGTATGTCGAAATATGCGAGCAGTCAAAATTGAATGGCAGTCACTCCATGCAGCCTGCATCAGAATTACGGTTTGACATTTTACTTACGCACTGACGATTTGCCTCATTTTATTAAGGCATCTCATTACAAATGGGCCTTGAGAGCATAAAGTAAACGACTTGTCGACTGATTTTATACTTGTTCATTATATAGTGTGAAGCTCTAACCATCGGTAACACAGGAGCATAAATAACTAAAACTGTCGTAGACTGTTGGTTTAAAAAAAATTCAGACCGGATACACTGGGCAAAAGATAATGTGCATGTGAACATAGTCAGAGTTATCTCCCCTCTATCAAATCTTGTCCAAGCGAGAATACGTTACATCAATGACGTCACATATATATGACGTCAATGAAAATAATTCTCACACTTTTTTGTTCTTTTTTTTTTTTAAACAAAATTATAAACAGTAATTTATCCAATACTCATACACTTTAGATCTAAATTTAAATTAAAATCAATTTGGAAAAACAGAATGATTTAACAGTTTTTGAATCACTTGAAAAGCTTTTATCATATGACAACAATCTGCGTCACTCTACTCAGTCAATTCCTTACAATACATATTATCAATATTATGATGTCTTATTAATTGACAGATTGAATATTAATCATTAATAATTATGATCTCATTCTTTTCACTGCCTAGCCGTAACTGTGTGTAAGATAACATCAATATTGAATGGAATGGGGTAACAGATCGATGTTTGCAATGTCAAAGACTCTGGGTAATAATTATTTAGAGCCTTACGTCCTTTAACATTTAAAACATATTGAATGATTGATAGTCAGTGATAGTGTGATAGTGAGATAGTGGTACGTTCACAACTCAATCCACTAGCTAGGCCTAGACAGTGCGAAAGAAAGCGAGTCTTTTTGTCTGGTTCATAGATTATTCTACCTGTGTGGTGCAATGCTGTATTCAACAAGCTTCGGATACTTGTATCCATTGTTATGTTTTCTGATCACAATATGTTTAAAATAAATAATTCAACTGAATCATAACAGTAATTCCCAAGTTAATAAAACTCTTCGTTCATGGAGGCAGCCATATTGTTTACGGGCAAATCACTGAATGCGCATTAACATATAGTTCTGAAATTTATCGAAATTATTTCGTAGAATTTAAAGTTTATTTCTTAGATTTTATTAGAGTAAAGGTTAACTTATTAATTGTGCCATGTAACACGTGAAAATTTTTCGAGACGTACTAAATGAACATAAATTAATTGGCGTAAGGATATTCATAGTAACGGTACATGTAGACTTGGTCATCTGGTCACTTTTAGAAAAGCTTGCCAGGAATCACTCTCACCCTGCTAATTTAATGTAAAAGTAAAGTGCAGAACATGATAAGTAATTACTTTATATACTGTACTAGAATACTGTTAAAACGACGTTCCAGATCCTGTCGAATACTTATCAACCGTTAAAACATTTAATAAAATATTTAAAAAATAAGACATTGACTCCAAGTTTACGCAAATTAATCGTCTGGTAAATCAGGAAAAATAACAGTGTTCGTTCCAACATGTGAAAATGTCAAGTACCTGCCGTGGACAGTTCCATCAATTCCAAGTCTAGCATAGGTTGTCGCAGGATTTTGCTTATTCAATATTGTGTAAGGTAATCGAATCTTCCAGAACATAATGTTTTAGAAAGAAGAATAAGTGTGGTTGTAGGTTGATACTGAATTACTAGGTTATATTGTTCAAATGACAAAAATATTTGATCATTACTAATACTAGTAATAACTTATTAACTATATCATATGGCTTAAATGAGGAATGTAAGATCATTAATACTATCAGAAGAAAAATAGGATCAGTATGGACTAATAGGTCTGTGACATCTGACTGTCAATCAGTATACAAATTAAAAACTGTGGCACAGTACATTATGTGCTTGATCAAAACAAATGTCCAAGAGAATATTAACTTGTAGTATCTGGGTAGATCAGATGAGTCATCTGGTTTTGATCAGAGAATTTTTTATTAAATAAAATCTTTATTTTCAGATTCTGTAGCACTACTTGGAAATATGGTAAAATTTGAATATAATCAAGTTGTATAAGAGCAGTGTTTGTAGCTCTGTATGTGTCATGGAAATTTGATAACATTATTCAGCATTATACAAAAAGATGACATAAAATCGATTGTGATTATGGTACGGTAGTTAAAAAAAACAACCTAGCATCGATTGGACAACTTTTATGATGTAAAATATTAATAAATAATAATATAGATGATAGCATCATAATCAATAGTTTTCTAGTTTAGTGATACATGTTCCAGTTGATCAGAAGAAGTTTGACTGTATTGTACTTCAGTGTTATTGACTGTTAAAGATTTGTTGTGGTTTTAGTTTTTAAATTGACTTCAATGGCTTCATGGGCAAAATCTTCACCAACTCCTCGTGATGCTCCTAGATTTAACCCAAATCAAGGAGGTCGTGGGGTTGGTGTGAAATCTAAATCAGATGGTATACCACCTTCAAGGTTAGCATTTAAAGCGAGACCATCTGATAAACTCAATCCTAAAACATTTGATCCTGTAAGTATGTTGAGTTATTTTATTCATTTTTCACTTAGATTTATTTAAGATGGACATAGGGGGGTTGGATGGCCGAATGGTTAGCACGTGCGCACTGTATCATAAGGCCTTTCATTGAGTCAACTCGCATGGTTTCGAATCCCCAGTTGTACGTGACAACCTCGTGGGTTTTCTCTGGGTCCTCTGGTTTCCTCCCACTGCTAAAGACCCCTACGCGCAAGTGGATTATTGAAATAAAATTAAAACCATGTGTTAGTCCCGAAATGACCTAGTTTGTGTCGAGTGGACGTTAAACCCCATTTCTCTCTCACTCTTGAGATGAACATGTAGATGTCAACAATTTTTCCACACCCATCCTGCCTCTAAATTACTCTATAAATCATAAATGTATGTTAGCAGAAGCGGGTAGTACCACAACATAAGGTATAATTATGAGACCAAGTGATTCCATTCAATTTAGGGAGTAGAATTTGAATTTCGATGACCTATTAATTCAGATTTTACACCCCAGAATTCCTAAGATGAGGTACTTTTAGGGAATTCTGAATCAACTTGCTTTGTTGCAGAGATGCCTCAGAATGAATATAAAAACCTGAAACCTGCACAACACCTTCAATCAACTTCATGGGGACATAAGCAATGTTCTCTAGCTTAAAATAAATTGTGGATTTGGTGGTTGACTGCTCTAACACTTGAACTTGAATCAAGTAGCATGGTTTCGATCCAACACTTGTATGTGACAAGGTGGAGGGTTGCCTAACCTTGTGAGTTTTCTCTGTGGTTTCTCCCCGGTTTCTCCTCACTGGGAGGGGAGGTGGGCTTTGAATGGCCGAATGGTTAGCATATGCGCTCTGTATCATAAGGTCTGTAAATTTAGTCTACTGCCGTGGTTTCGATTCTCGGTAGTATGTGACAAGGAGTAGGGTCGCCTATCCAACCTCGTGGGTTTTCTCTGGGTCCTCCGGTTTCTTCCCACTGCAAAAAAAACCTATGCACAAGCAAATTTTTGAAATAAAATTGAACCATGTGTTAGTCCCAAAATGACCTTGTTTCTGTCAAGTGGATGTTAAACCCCATTTCTCTCTCTTTCTCTTTCTCCCCACTGCTAAAGAGCTCTATGTCCAGGCGAATTATAGAAAAACAACTGTACCACATATTATTCCCGATTTTATTTTAGGTCAAGATGGTAATTAAGTGTCTCAGTTATTGGCTATATCTATTGTACTATAAATCGTGGGAGATCATTTTACCTATGATCACTTATTTATGATAATCTTATGATCTTAGAAAAAATATTTATAAATGTTCTATGTACATGTATAAGAATTTCAGTTTTTAATTTTCAGTTTAAAAATTCACAGAAACATTTATCACCATTTGCTAATTTGTATGCAAATGGTGGAGTTCCTTGCAGGTAAAGTAACACAGTACTACCTCTTTACACTTTAGTTCAGCATATCTTAATATCTATAAGTGCAACCACTCCCCTGTTCAAAATGAACCAAATGGATGTGCTACAGGGTTCTGATTTGAGCCCTATTTACCAGTCTTGACTAGGGATGGCGAAAAGTATCGATATAGCCGATAATCGTCGGCTGGCGACTACAAGAAAATATCGATATTCAGTTCTTGATATCGATTCTCGTATATAAATAAAGGAGCTTCAATAAAATGAAATTAACGGAATGTTTTGTGTCAAATAATCACATTCATATCATTCAAAACATACTAAAACTAAAAACACACATACTAAGTAAGGAAAACTGTTATTTCTTTCACCTTCAAATTTACCGATATATCGATATCGATATTGCCGAAATGGTTGCTGATATTGATATTTAAAATCAGCATCGATTGCCAGCCCTAGATGGGAGTGAAATAGATTAACTGGAGAATTTACCTGTCATTCAATTTACATGCCAGATAATTAGAATTTCAAAGTTTATAATTTTTATGTGTAAAAGCAAGACACTATTTTATTGTATTATTATTATTACAATATTATTTCATTTTATCAGATTATTTCATGGTAGCGTAAAACACAGATTACAGTGGGATATACAACCAGAACAAGTTCCCTTTAATCCTATACTAGTGGCTTTAGCTGATGTAAGTACACACAAAACAAAATCTTATACTAGTGGCTCTAGCTGATTTAAGTATACACAAAACAAAATCTTATACTAGTTATATATATATATAATTAGTGGCTCTATGTTTTGTAAGTACACACAAAACAAAATCCTATACTAGTGGCCCTAGCTGATGTAAGTACACACAATACGAAATCTTGTACTAGTGCCTCTATCATTTGTAAGTACACACAAAAGCAAGTTTCCTATAATATTCATGAAACACAAAACAAAATCCCTCTAGTCCTATATTAGTTGTCTTATCTCACATAAATTCCATTTAATTCTTTACCGGTAAACTTAAAATAAGTTCCATACAATTTGATACAAGTGATTCTCCCCTTAAACATACATTATGCAAGAGCTAAATCAACATATTATAAGTCTTTATTTAGGCTTCAGATGTTATAGAAATTATTAATTAGACCTTTATTTACATGCCAAGCTCGAAATCAACTCTGTAGACGCTTAGATACAGATTGGATTTACACAGTCGTCCATTTAAAATTAAATCAGTAAATGGCTGATCAAGCTAACGTTTACCGTTACTTGGTGACGTCGCTACCGGAAACTGGTGATGAAAGGCCTGTCAAGCGAGAGTACTATTGCTATTGAGAACGTTACTTGATAATCAAGAATATGTGGGTGGAGTTATCGCCTGTCAATCAAACGATCAACGATTCTCATAGACGGTGTAGATGCAGTTTATGCCTATTTCTAGTCAAAACTTCCAACACTGATAACTCCGTTCAGAATAAAGTAATTTGACTGAAATTTTCTTTTTATATCAACTATTAAACTCTTAACTAATGTATCTTTAAATGTTATTTGTGTTACAAGCTTTGTTATCTAGTTCATTGTAAAAGATTTAGAAACCTTGTGTTATGGTGGGGGGGGGAGTGCTTAAGGCTGAATGGTTAGCATGTGCATGTTGTATCATACGGTCTGTCATTGAGTCAACTGGCGTCTTTTTGATTCCAGTGTTGTATGTGTCAAGGAGTAGGGTCGTCGGTCCAACCTTGTGAGTTTTCTCCGGGTCTTTCTTTGGTTTCCTCCCACTGCTAAAGACCCCTACGAGCAAGCGAATTATTGAAATAAAATTGAACCATATGTTAATCCCGAAATGACCTAGTTTGTGTTGAGTGGACGTTAAACCCTATTTCACTCTCTTATGTGTCATATTGTCGATATTTACTGTTTGAGGTTCTGTGTCAGACCCAATTAGAAAAAAAAAGAAAAATGATTTTATATTTGCAGGGATTACGTGAAACGGTTCACCCATACATGTTTATAGCTGAAACTGGTTTTAAAGAATTGTTAGAAGTACAGAATGCAGATGAGAAAACACTTCCTCTTTTACCTAGATTAGCTCCACCCCTTCGAGCTGCTTTGGTAAGATACAATATCATACTCTCAATAAGTTTGTATTTCTTGTAATTCCAACCTTTATGCTGGGATCAAGTGACCATGTGGTTTAAAGTAATGTTAGATCCTAAGGTTCATTATCAATGAAAAGATGGCGGAAAGTTTGATCATCGACAAGGAGTAGATTATCTCTAGTTTACTCCCACTGGTAAACAAGTGATTTGTTTTCTTTGATAGGGAGTCAGTAATTGAACATATTAACACAAGGTACAATTTTATGTCCTGACAAGGACAGGTGTCTAGTTGTTCGGATGGGACGAAAAACTGGGGTCCCGTGTACACATTGGCATGCACGTATTGGCGTGCACGTAAAAAATCCCTTGACAGTTGGAATTCGATATAAGAGCAGGCCGTAGTGCCACTGTCCAGGCAAAATTTCCCTCATAGCACACTGTATGGCGTATGCCCGTCTTCATTAGCCCAGGTTAGGAGCAGAACAGTAGGACGTTAAACCCCATTTCATTTCATTTTCAATTTTATGGATACACAATTTATTGAAATGTATTCTCAAAATGATCTAATTTTTGTTGAATCGACATTATCAACTGAATTCATGATGGGAGATTATCTACCATTGATTTGTTTCTTATATAATAAGTGGGTATATTTTAGCATGGATTAGGCATTGAAATGATCACAAGGCTTCATGGTGAAATGATAGGAAAGTAAATGTATACTAATATTTATGACTGTCATTTGTTTGTCTGTCTGTTCAGGGTTGGCGGCTACACTAGGGCTGTTCTGAGGCTGAAATTTGGTGTATAGGGGTACCTCGGACCGGGGAGTAACATGGGTCTGAGGGCTATGGACTACCACTTCCGGTTTTGGAGTTATGCTACTTCCGCTACATCCGGTCAACCACTGATATATAAAGATGATAAATATTGTATATATTTTATTAACAGGGTCATGATAATATGAGTGTGTTTGAAAGAGGTTTAGCTGCCACGATACAACTAAGTGATGTAGTTGGTCCAGCATTAACACCACACCTTAAAGTTCTTCTTATGCCGGTAAGAATCGTTTCATTTACAGGCAAGTACTGGAAGCTGAACAAGAATTTCCTGATTGGTTTCCACTTACAGGGCTGACGGTGATGTGAATGTGAAAAAATAAGCAAGATCCACTGATTTACATACTGGCATATAGGCCTATATCAAAGAATATCAAACAGTTGAAAATTGATGGAGTTTACCGTTGGCAGAAAATATGGCCATTGTGGCAAAAAATACCCTTGTTTAATTTGGTGTCATTCCATCCGATGTATCTTTTTTTTTTGTTAAGGACCCACGGTGGCTCGGTGAGAAATGCTGGCTCAATAACTTGAATGTCCAGATTTCTGTCCGGGTGTTGGCTGAGAAAGTTCCACTGGATTTTCCAGTGTGGGTATTCTTTGTCATTGTTGCAGGATAGACTGGCAAGTAACAGTAGGATGTTCAACCCATTTTGGTTAAACCTGTCCATATTCTCTGCCAATTGGATATTTAGCAGTTTATGAGGAGATTGTTATTATCATTATTATTATTCCCATGTTTTTGGCATGGAACCATCTGAATATTTTTTTTGTATAATAACAGTTGGTATAATAGAATGATATTGAGTGTATTATTTGTATATTAACAGTTAGCTAAGAGAATGATGGACAAGAAATATAAAGAAAGAATAACGGAATGTTTACAACATTTAGAACAAAATTGTGGACGGGTATGTTCTTATCTTTGTTAAGATTTGAGGTTGTCTTAAGAGTGTGGGATACAAATAGTGAATTCTTGATCAAATTCCATGGCATAAGTAAGCCCCATCCAACATTCGACCCTATGCTATACTTTTGAGCAGTTTTACATTACGGTTAATTGTCTGTAAATTTATCAAAATTTAATATAAAATATATCTATATTATCATTCCAAATTGGTATACCTTTTCTGGAAAATAATGACATCATATATTTAGTGCTGTTATTTGTTTATTTTTCAGTGCCGAACTAATTTCTTGGTTTTTATTTTGCAGGATGCCTTACCAATTATTAAATCAAAAGTTCCAACTTATTCTTCCATATATGGATGAAAGATGTAACAATGATTGAAGAAGGAAAATTGATTCTCAGCAATATCATGTGACCACACACAGCATGTAGATCTCACAAACTTTAGAATATTTTTATTCTGTTTATATTATTAACAGTAGTGCATCTATATACATAGAGTTAGAACTAGTCTTTCTACAGTAAAACCTGCCTGATCTGACCAGTCAATGTTAGCTGTTAACTTTAAACCTGGGAAACTGACCACAAATTCAAATCAACAGATTTCTGAAAGCATTCACCCAGCATTCATTAGAAACAGACAGATCCATTACGAAACAAACCATGCTCAATCCGTCCTTGCTAAAATACAAAAAGTTGCAGAGTTATCGATGTGAATGCTGCACTGAACATAAGCGTACATTACCATACCAGACTTTAAGGTGTATTCAAAGAGTCATTTCAAACATTTTCAAATGATGTATGCCTTTACATTAATATGAAGACTACTCTATATGTCACATGACCAGTTCTCTGAATGCGACATGACCAGTTCTCTGAATGCGATATGACCAGTTCTCTGAATGTCACATGACCACTACTTTGGATGTCACATGACCACTTGTTTAGATGTTACATGACCACAACTTTAGATGTCACATGACCACAACTTTAGATGTCACATGACCACAACTTTAGATGTCACATGACCACTACTTTAATGTCACAATTTATATGAATATATTTTTATACTTCATTCATTTTTTGCACCTAGATTTATGAGATAATTAATTGAATGATTATGATCTTATATTATACACCTGACACTTCCTAATATATCCGACTCCAAGAGAAGCATGCATTACAACTTATTTTATTACTTTATATTTCTATTATTATATTGACAACGAATCATTAAGAAAAACTTAAGTAACATTAATCAATTGGAATTCCAGTATACAAAGTATTAAGGGCCTATACTCTGCACTTATGTTGTAGCTAAAACATAATTAAAATATCTTGAATGTTGTATTATTAATAATAGCATTTAATTATTTGACATTAATCAATTAGAATTCCAGTCAGTATACAAAGTATTAAGGGTCTATACTCTGCTTATTGTAGCTAAAAACATAAGTAAAGTATTTAGATATTTGACATTAATCAATTTGAATTCCAGCCAGTATACAAAGTATTAAGGGTCTACACTCTGCACTTTTGTTGTAGCTCAAACAATTAAAACATCTTAATGTTGCATTATTAATGATAGTATTTAAATCTTTGGTTATGTAGAAATTTGAATATTGTATTATTAATATGATAGCATTTAGATAAGTAATTATGTAGCAATTTAAAAGCTTATACATGTAGTTGTTGTTGTTGTTAAAATACATGTACTCAGCTTTATATCTATATGTGCCTTAAGTCAATCCAATTTAATCTTTAATTCTTCGAGGTTTTGATAAATAAACAGCCAATCAAATCTCATAAACAATCATTGGTTTTATTATAAGTACAATACTAAATGAATGAAATGAATGTCTTGTCTACGATATCACCTTAGGTGGAAGTGGACGTAAAACCCCAGAAACGAACGAACGAACGAACGAATGAAATGGGTGTTTAACATCCATCTTTTCTGCTCCAACCGGGCAAATGAAGACAGGTATATGCCATGCAGTATACCATGAGGTAAATACTGCCCGGACAGCATTTGAATTCCTACCTCACTTGTTCGTTCTTTCCAACTGACTAGATGCTGACATGGGGAAACAAACCACACAGGAAAATCTTGAGTAACTTTCTCGAGAAACACAGGGATTGAACACCAGGCCCCCAAGTTCACAAAGCCTTCTCAGACTTAAGTTAAGAATTTACTCAAAATTGTTCGCCTTATTTTAAACATGCATTATGCAAGAGCAAAATCTCCTTATTACAAGTCTTTCTTTAGGCCTGAAATGTTATCTAAATTATCAATTAGACATTAATTAACTTATCCAGATCATAATAAACTCTCGATGTCAAAGCTAGCCTTCGATGTTGGCTGGATTAGATTCCTATATGCCGCTAACGGTCATTGATAATTAAATCAGAAAAAGTGGATAATCAAGACTATGCTGTTTATATTAATGATTTTAGTAATGATGACCGAGACTATGCAAAAATTTCACCCGCTTCTTTCTCGGCTCATAGTGGATCAATTTGACTGAAATTTTCAGCAAATTACCTTTACACTATCTAGTTTTTAACTATTATAACGAGAACTGCCATCTCTTTATCTTATCTCCCATAATGTATCTTTAACTAAAATATAGTCTGTTTTAAAACTTTTGTTGTTTTAATTTAGCAAATACACCAATAAGAAACTATGTGCAAAGTTTTGTGTTTCTGGATCAAAGATATTTCTCATAAACAGTGATTGAAAGTTGAGTAAATTCTTAACTTGGTTCTGAGAATGCTTTGTGATCTCGGGGCCAGATCTCCTGGTTAGTGAACCAGCACCTTACTCACTGAGTCACTGTGGCTTCCCTAGATATTACAACATAATGTTGGATATCATGATTACATTATTCAACTTAAAGTAAATCAGCAGAATTATGTGGAAGTTGGATTGTAACAAGGGCTATGAGTTGTGCATTTTGTTAAAGACACATTCAAAGAACTTCCTCTGTATAATAAATTTTGCTAATGCAGTTAAGGTATTAAATGTATTTACATGTAGTAATAAATATTGTGACATTGTAAAGGTATATGATATGTAGGCCTAAGTCAATATCTGTGTAATTATTAGGTTGTTTAAAAGGTCAAAATACATTCCATTATGATGTGCTACAAGTTAAGGTATATATATTTCCCAATGAACTTCCTCGACACATGATCGGAACGAATACAGGACCTCTTATTTAGTGAGCTATTGCTGTACTCACCGAGCCTCCATTAGGTAATAGGGTTGAAGTTGAAAGACAGTTTCCTCTTACTTTTGTTTAAAAGTCGAACTGAAACATGGGGTTAAACGTCCTACTGTTTTGCTTCGACTGGGCTAATGAAGACGGGATGATCTATAGATTGTATCCACTTTATCTGATGAGTTGGTGGGTGCCGCAGTAGTCTTACACATGCGCTGTAGATAATTAGTCTGTTATTCATCACTCTGATTAAAACACTGATCTTATTTAGTTTCGTATTTTATGGTTCCAAATTTCGATTTACTTGTTTTCACAACACTAGGATCTGGAAGAGTTGTTATATAATGTGTGCTCTAGTTGAAGTGAAGGATTAGCCAATGAAACGGTCTGTTACAGGGAGTTCTTGGCATGCGATACATGGAACTGTGGGTAACCACTAGAAACGTCAACGCTGATGTCAGACGCGACCTCAACAACAACCGGTCAGATCTTCATGTAGTGTAGGCCATTGAAAGTGTAAAAAAACGAAATGAAATATAGATCTGTATTGTAATCAGTAGGCCTACTATTGTACTATACCCGTCCATGTATTTTTATATGATTAATTATATAGATTTATATTGTCAATAAGTTCTTTGTTGTTTTTATAGTCTACTTTTCAAAGGAACATATTCTGTCGATGCCCATGTTCATCTGGATATCTTGAGTTAACCCTTTTTTTCCGTAGGCCTTGTAAACATGATAGTGGCTACAGTTTTTAACTTATTTTTTACATATTTGAGGTGCAGCATTGGGACAATGAGAGGATGAGCCCTTTTGATTTTCACTGGTCTCCGTCCATCTCTTGCAAAAGGCTGGTATATCTTGCATGCCAACTGCTTGCTATATACTGACCAGGCACAGCGCAGAAAGAGTTATAATTTCTTGACTGTAAACACCAATTTCCATATCGAAGAAACAATAAACACAAATAAGTCTCAGTTCTTGTTGACTGAAGTTTTGGATCGCATCAGAATACACCTTGGAATGAACGGAATTAATAAATTTTCTTTCACCAAGATTATTTGACTTTCATGATGATGTACAAATAAAGAAAGTGTTGAAAAGTCAATTGCACCAAGGAAAAGAGAACGAATTAATGTCTACTTGAGCCTTCAATTATATGAAATACTAGCAGGACACCCGGGTCTGCTCAAAGGCCAAATTTGATGGCCTAAAACATTCACAGGGTCATGCTAGTTAATATGATACCACATATATTTGGGTTGAGCACGGCAACGAAGCCTGATTCGTCCGGTGTCCAAATTCGATGGCCAAAATCATGCTGGTTAATTTGATACCACATATGTGGGGGTGAATCGCGCAGTGATAGGCGAACATACATACAGCTTTGATTTATATACATTAGTTAGTACATTTACTTAATAGATCAAGTTTTCACAGTTTATTATTAAAGGGGTAAGAAAAAATTTGACAAATTTACAAACTATTAAATAAAAAGTCCAGTAATTATATAAAACAAAAGACAGTTGATTTTAATTAATTCTTATGATTTACTTATCAAATACATAATTTATACAATAACAAATATAATTGAATATACAACTAAAAAAAATTAAACAAATGTCTTAAAAAAAACAGAATCAGTACCTTCCTGATATAAACAATACAAAATCGATTAAAATAAATAACAAAATTGTCAACACAGTTCAGAGCCATAACACTTTTATTTATTAAGAATTTTTAACTAAGCCAAATAGTTTCTACTACTGTATTGTCATTGAGTAAAATCACATACATAGTAAAATGTTCCAACTACTGCGCCTTAAGGCCAATTTACATTCCACTAAGCAAAGCCGCAAGGCATTGTCTTTGCATACCTTTGCGCGCTTCAAGGCCCAGCTTTAGCATCGCAATGTTCTGAGCGGATCGAAGGAATTGAACTTGGCTCAACTTTTTTACTTTACTCAAAACATCGCAGACAAACAGCCAATCCAGCAACATGATGTCTGCTGTTGCGATCACCAGACCAGCTTCTCTTAGTTTTGCTCACCACAATCGGCAGCTTTTGAATTTTTTTGCTTAGCAGAGTGTAAATTGACCTTTAGAGTGCCCCAAACTGCCTGGGTAGTATGAATAGCCATGATGAAGAACTAGAATATAGTCCTACAGTAGTATAGAGAGCGATATTACATAAATGGCGATTTTAGATAGTCTAGGGATTACGCTGATGTCTTTCAAGAAACCAGGGTATTGAAGAACTAGAATATAGTCCTACAGTAGTATAGAGAGCTATATTACATAAATGGCGATTTTAGATAGTCTAGGGATTACGCTGATGTCTTTCAAGAAACCAGGGTATTGAATATTTATATGTTGCAATTGTAAAAAAAAACAACAGAAAAAATATACTTAAGAAAATTTAACAAAACTTGTTCTAAAAGTACATAAAATAACAAACGGAGGTTTGCCAGTCAACCCCATGTGCTCTCTCACCTAACATTAATGGAGAAGTCCATCCTTTTGTCTTAATCAGGATGTTATGAGAAGAACCATTAGCCATTAAGGGGGGAGGGGGGCTGGAAGGTCCAAGGGATACACATTAGATCATAAGGTCAAGTAGTGCTGAGGTTCAATTCCCTGCTTGTATGTGACAAGGAGTAGGGCTGCCTGTCCAACCCTTGTGAGTTTTCTCCAGGTCCTCCCACAGCTAAATACCCCAACATGCAAGCAAATTATTGAAATAAAATTGAACTGGGTTAGTCCCGAAATGACCTAGTTTGTGTCGAGTGGATGTTAAACTCTCCCTCCCCTGGAAAAAATGAGGTTCATAGTCCAATCAACACATACTACGTTATTTTGTTACTAATAAATATATGTATATGACATTTTTAGTTCAATAATCGGCATGTGAGTCGGGGTCTTTAATAGTGGAACGAAACTGGGGTACACCGAGACAACTCACAATATCACATACAATCTTAGTGGCAAAACCACACCACTTACTCAATGACAGACCATATTACGGAGAGCACCCAAGTCAGATCACTCTGCTACCAAAACCCCCAGATATTATTGCTGGCTTGTTTTTGTAGTGACTAACACTTCCCTTTAAAGCATCACAGCCAATGTTATTTTATTAATGGTTGTGCATGATTGAAACCATCTAAATACTAGATCAATTATGAATAAAATACAGAAAATTACAAAAAAATTTCCTTTAAATGTTGGAATTTTAGAATACAATTTACTTTGCACAATTTGTGAATAGTTTTTCAATTGCTGTTTTGCATCTTTCAAAGTGGAATATAAACATACATGTCTAATTAAAAGGCATTTTTGGTTCTATAAAAAATATATATTTTATTTAAGACTTTGTATAATATACTTGTAACAAAATAAAATGTTTCACGTGCATCATCAATTCAACATGCAAAAAACAAACTTTCCCAACCATACATAAAATAGTTACCAAAAACCAAGAAAACAATGTGGCAAAACATCAAATGGAAGCTTTCAGCAATCACAACGATTTTAAAACATTTATTTTTCTGTAACTAAGGACAGATTACTTAAAATGTCATATTGTCAAACATAGGCTAATAAACTTTGATGGTACATATATGTATAGCCTAATTAACATTACAGGCAACATTACGGAAATGTTTCTGGTGTCATAATACTTTGTTAAATGTAAGAGACACCACTTAGTTTTCATTTTTTTGAAAGCAGGATGCAACAGATCGAATTAATTCTGATGTTCATCTCACTGCTTCGACTTCCGATCCAAAATTAATGATGAGATTGACAATTATTGATTATTCCGTTATTTCTAGCACTCTTTTATTTTTGTGATAAATTCTTAGCTTAAAATCAAAAGAACATAAGACACTCATCCATGCTACACTGGGTACCTAAACCAGGGCCCTGATTCACGAAATTTTAACTAAAGATAAAATCCAAATTTTAGTAGATACCTCAATTTTGATTGGCTAAGCACTAAAATCAATCTAATATTATCCAATCAAATTACTAAAATTTGGATTTTATCTTAGTTAAGTTTTCGTGAATAAGGGCCCTGTATCGTGTTGTTGCGATGTTTCAGCAGTAGTTTCAGTATTTAATGTTAAGTTTCAAACAATTGTTGGGGAAATCGTTGACAATTATCAAAATATATTTGGTTCCTATTGACGCATTGTTTAAAATGAATTTTAACAATTTCAGAAACTCCCACTAAAACAGCACTACTGCATGATACCCGAGTTGTAGGGAGATGATTGGTAAATGTTTATATTTAGAACACAAAAGGCAGACGAAACCCATATCTGTTGGATATAACTAAATAACTAAAAGCCCACAAGTTAGTATGTCAAAGAATACAAGAATACCTTAGTCACATGATAATAAACATAAATTTTAAATATAGTATATAATTTGTTTAATAAAAAACAATATTTCAATTCCGACAAAAACATGTTCAGGAACAGATTTGTTAGTTGTTATCTGAAGTTTAAATCTAGTATTTATAATACATGTACATCAGGATGGGCCGGAGACTGGAGTGAAGAATATAAAGTTTCTATATCTCTGTTAATTTTTTTTAATTTAATTTTTTGACGTTATATAAAATTGAAGAGATCATATTTGGCACATGAAAAGTAAAACCTTGACCACCTCTGGCCCCAGTTTCACAAAACATTCTCAGACTTAAACATGCATTATGCAAGAGCAAAATCTGCTTATTACAAGTCTTTCCTTAGGCCTGAAATGTTATCTAAATTATCAATTAGACATTAATTAACTTATCCAGACCATAATAAACTCTCGATGTCAAGGCTAGCCTTCGATGTTGGCTGGATTAGATTCCTATATGCCGCTAACGGTCGTTGATAATTAAATCAGAAAAAGTGGATAATCGAGACTATGCTGTTTATATAAATGATTTTAGTAATGATGACTGAGACTATGCAAAAATTTCACCCGCTTCTTTCTCGGCTCATAGTGGATCAATTTGACTGAAATTTTCAGCAAATTACCTTCACACTATCTAGTTTTTAACTATTATAGCGAGAACTGCCATCTCTTTATCTTATCTCCTATAATGTATCTTTAAGGTAAGAATTTACTCAAGATTGTTTGCTTTATTTTAACTAAATTATAGTCCTTTTGTTGTTTTAAAGTATAAAATACATCAATAAACTATGTGAATATTTTTGTATTTCTTGATATTTCTCATAAACAGTGAATAAAAGTTGAGTCTAAGAATGCTTTGTGAAAACGGGGACAGGTGTAATGTGTAGTCTTCACACAAAATTTGAAAACAATGTTGAACGAATCATTTGAAAATTAAAATCAGATACACTATAAGAATTTTAAATGCATTTAAATATTTCGTAGGTTTCGCCGTCGGTGTCATCCACCACAAACGGTGCCGTATAATTACCAATCCTATTTGTGGCATAATGGTCGTCAAGGTTTCCACTGTTCTGTTGTGTGTTTTCTAAACTCTGTGCTATAGATTTAGTTTTCCTCTTCCTAGGCGATACATCGAACAGGCTATCTTTCATAGGTATTTGAGAAATTTGTTTATCTGAACCATTTTGATAGTCCGAGGGAACAATATACAATACTTCTTCTTCCAGGAATTTTGGATTAAGAGTATAGGTAATCTCTTCTAACTGATTAGAAAAACAGTCTTCATTAGTTTTTGATTCTCCGTCTTTAAGGAGATCTGGATAAGATTCTTCTAGAAAGCTACAAAAACAGTCTTTATTCCTCTCTGTCGTTGGTTTGTCTTCTGGCTGAGTTTCTTCTTCCGAATAGCTACATGTACAACAACAGTCTTTATTATGTGTTTTCTTTGATTTTTTGCGACGGTGTTTTATTTCTTTTATCTCTGGTTCATATTTCACAGGTCGTCTACGGGTTCGTTTCCCACTGCCAGAATCCTGTGTTGAATGCTGATGTAGTTGGGGTTTGGGAATGTCAAAGGTTAGCAACGGTTTTTTATTCAACAATGCAGTCAACGTTGGTAAATTTGTATTCAGACTAGAACTAAGGTTTCCCTTAGCTGAATTATTATTAACGGACAGAAGTTTCACGGAATCTGCTGCTGAATGTGTTTGTTGGTTTTTGATCATATTGTTCACATTAATATCAGCAGAACTGTTCGGGCATTGTTTAATCACATTTTTATCGATATTTTTAGCAATTGGCTGAGATTCTTGTTTAATTTGTCTTTGAGGACATTTTGTCTGCATTGAAGGACTCTCTATCTGATCATAATTTGTCCAAGCTTCTGGAGGTATTGCATATATTGTTTCACTATCAGAATCTTCATTACTAAATCCAACAATCGCCACCTCATCTTCCTCTTCACATTGCACTGAAGTTTCTGTTGTGGTCTTAGAGCAACTCCTATTTGTCTCTAATTTCTGTTCACTTACAACAGGTTTGGAAGACTGGGTACTGGATGACGAGTCTGATAGTCTTTGTTCACAAGTCAGATTGTCTTCGCATTGCATTAAAGTTTCTGGTGTTGTCTCTAATTTCTGTTTACTTATAAGCAGTTTGGAAGGATGAGAACTGGGTGACGATTCTGAAAGTCTTTGTTCACCAGTCACATTCTCTTTGCATTGTATTGAAGTTTCTGGTGTAGTCTCTAATTTCTGTTTACATACAACAGGTTTGGAAGGCAGAGAACTGGATGATGATTCTGGTAGTCTTTGTTCACCAGTTATGCACAAAATAGTGTTATGTACAGAATCACCACTATGGCTGTGTTTGATTTTATTTAAATCTGTCTGACAGCTGGAGACTTTCTTTTTATTAATATTAGATTTCTGATCACTAATTGTTAACTCTGATGGAATTGTGAGTGAGCTCTTCTCCTTTTGAACAGTGGAGTGTAAATTTGCACATGTTGTTTTAACAGAAGTAAATCGGCTTTTTACGGGACTTATAGTAGTCAACTGGTTTTTAACTGTACTTCTATTATGTGGGGATGAATGAATCAATTGTTGAGGATTTGAAATTTTAGATCGATTTGTCTCCATGGCTTCTGTATTTAGTTTCATCTCTGAACCTTTTAAGTTCTCTATATATTTGCGATGTTTATTTATTGTCAGTGTATTGGATGCGAGAAGAAATATGAGTTTCATCAACTTTTGAATCTTCTCTTTCCCACATTCACCTGTAATTTAAAATATACAAAAGATTATGTGCATGAACATTGCATATTAAACTTTTCATATTTATTCATTTGTTAAAATTTCTGATCATCTTTTGACAGATCTTTTATTCCATGAAATGAAAGGAAATGGGGTTTAACGTCCTACTGTTCTGCTCAGACTGGGATAATAAAGACGGACATACGCCATACAGTGTTCTATGAGGGAAATTTTGCCCGGGCAGCGGCACTACTCTTATAATTCCAACTGCCAAGGGATCTTTTACGTGCACCCCAATGTATACATTGGTTTTTTGTCTCATTCGAATGACTAGAAAGCTGTCCTTGTCAAGCCCGCCTTCCTGCACCACTGACTTGGGGAAACCGCTCCTGAAAATCTCAATGAACTTTCTCTGCCAATGCAGGGATCAAACCATGCGACCTCCAGGCTAGCGAGCCAGCGTCTTACCCACATAGCCACAGTGGCTCCTTTATTCCATGTAAACTACAATATTGTGAAAGAAGTTGAATCTCCAAAATCAATATCAGTCCAAAAATGATTCAATTTTTTTTAAATTTTAAACAAGCGGTTGCCATGCAAGATATGCCCACAATTTGCAAGAGATGGATAGAGAACAAGCTAAAAATAAGGCGTGATTTTTTGTATAATCAGGGGCCATAATCCAGTAAGTAATGGTCTGAATAGCGCGAATATTGAAAGGAAATGAAATCTTTGGGATATAAACATATATTTTAAGTTTCATCAAAATCGGATAAAAATTGAGACCTGTAGACTGTCCACAAACAAATTGTGGGCGGCCGGACATCCGCACGGACAAGGGCGACGACAATATACATCCACATAAAAATGTGGGCGTATAACAACATGATGAATTGATAATTTGTCAACATTCACTGTTCTGCTGACAGAAGAGATAAACAAGCCACCAACATGAAAAATAAGATATTTTTGAAACAGGCAAATTACGATCAGTGGCATTACTTTTCAAAAACAAACAAAAATTTAAGGTTTAGCAAGTTCAAGATTTGTTTTTAAGGGATACATGTATTGCCCTTTATTACTAAAAAATCTGCAATGTAGACAAATGATGCAGTTGTGAACTGCCAATGTCCCAATTCCTAAACACAGCTGTGGTGGCTTCTGGCAAAAAATAACATTGATGAACAACATTTTTGGTTTAGGATATCCAAAAATACATGTATAATCTAAAGTGGTTTAAAGTCCATTCAACACAAACTAGGTCATTTTGGGACTAACATATGGTTCAATTTTATTTCAATAATTCACTTACGCATAGGGGTCTTTAGCAGTGGGAGGAAACTCAAGGACTCAGAGAAAACCCATGAGATTGGACAGGCGACCCTACTCCTTGTCACATTTAAGCAGGGAATCAAAACCCAAAATATAAAATCTAAAGAAAGAATAAAGTAGTAATGTTACCTGCTATTTTCTTCTTTAACCTTTTTTTAATTTTAATGTTTGTACTGAGATTATTGTTACTAATGGTAGACTGGTTAATAGTTAGACCACCTAAGAAGGTCTGAACAATATTTATATCTTTCAAAACATTACTTGGTAATCTAGTCTTCTTGACTCTGAAAAATTCAAGATTTATAGGAGTTAAATCTCTCTGATTGAGTTGATCTGATTTGATCTGATGTGTTCTATTGATTAGTGATGAGGCAAGCTATATACCATTAAACTTCCAACACAACAAACCAATCAACATGTAACAGTAAATGAAATCAATCAATTTTATTTTAGATCCAAATCAAAAAGATCTTGTCATTTTAAATTAACTATAAAGATAGGTTTCCAGGCAACAACACATACGCCCATAAAGTTGTCCAAGCAGTCCATCAGAGTACATGTACATGTATGGGAGCGTTTACAAGACACCAAAAATAATCAAGAGTACATGTAACAACCCATTAATGGGGCATTATGGGAGATTAGATAAAAGAGCTGACAGTTCTCGCTATAATAGTTAAAAAATAGATAACGTAATTAGAATATGCTCCACTCTGAACCGAGATATTAGCTTTTGAATTTTAGGCTAGCCTCAATCATCATTACTAAAGTTGGTACGATAAAAAGCAAAGTCTTGATTATCCATTTTTATGTTTAATTATTTTTCAAAAAATGTATTCCAATCCGATAAATATTGCTAGCGATGGCATCAAGAGTTGATTATGGTCTAAAGAAAGATCTGCAATAGCCAAATTTAGCGCTTGCATAATGTATGTTTAAGTAACATCAAAACAAAACAAAACAAAACATTCGATTGATCAAAGGACATAACTCTGGCTTTGTAGACATACATGTACATGTATAAAATCAGTTTGGAAGCTCAATTTACGAAAAACTACATGTACATGTATAGGCCTATGTACACACTGCTAGGACAATGATCCTCAAAGAAATAAATTGATCATCAATTAAACTCACCTGAGTGAAGCGATGGGTGATTTATGTAAACAATCTATATCACTGGCTATAGAGGCAAAGATATTGAGAGATTGAGACTGATCATCTGGAGTGGTCTCCCTTTCAAACACAACATGTCTGCCACACAATGATCTAACAATAGGACTTCTGGTTGTTGATTTATCTAAAACTGGAGATGTCACCGGTGTATCAAATATGCTTGAACCTTTCGCTAATGTTCTTGCTCCAAGCATGACGTCATCATTCATAGGACTAAACTGTACTGATCCCGGGTCAGACAAAGATGGCGTCTCACCAAACACGACTTGATTTAATGTTTTAGAATTATTATTTCTGTTCATGTAAGGACCAAAACTTTCACTTAAACTATCTAGTGATTGATTGACCACTTTACTATCATTTAAGTTCGTCAAACTTGTATCTGTGAGAGAAGTTTTTAGATTTCTTGTTGCTGGCGAAGTTGTAGAAATATTAGGGTGAAGCACATTGACGATGGGATTTTTTAACGGTGTATTTTGTAACTTGACAGGAGAGTAAGGATTAAGAAAAGGTGTTGAGGATTCTTCTTTTTGTACGAGATCCGACAATGAAAACAGCGGTACACATTTATATAATTCACCACTGTCATTAGTCAATACAGTCACATTTTTATTTTCAGATAACGTTTCTGGTTCATTTGATATAAACTGAGAGTTATTGTCATTGTCTGTTCTTGATGTCTTCTGGTTTTCAAATGATTTTGACTCAATTGATGTTACGTTATGGCTGGATGCTTCAGTTAGATTCTGATCTTGAGACGTAGTTCTTAAATTTGGTGCTTGAGAAAGCATTGGATTAGCAGACATTTCTTGTAAGTTAGGGTTTCTTTCAGATACACTATTTCCTAATAGCGCTGATGCCGTCAAGAGATGAGCTGAGCTATGACCAGGCAATATGTAATCAGCAGGGACAATATTTCTTAATATCTTTTCAGCAGCAGATGGCTTTCTAGGACTTTGTCTTCTGCAAGATATTGTGGCATTGTTGGCTACAGATGTGGGCGGTGGTGTACCTTCAATATTTCCAAGTTTGTTTCGTTTTAAAGCATTCTTACATGCTTTAGTTTTAGTGTTCTTACATGCTTTAGTTTTTCTACCTCTTTTTTTGCCTTTTTGTGAAGATTTAACGGTGACGTTAACCTCTTTAGGGCTTTTATTAGAAACTTTAGGATTTACCATGGCAACTTTAGAGCTTATCTTACAAACTTTAGGACATATCTTGGAGACTTTCGCAGGGTTTTGTAATAGTTCGGATTCACCTGATTTACATGTATTTAGCTTTCTCTTCAAGGAACAGCTTGAATTCTTTTTCTTGTTTTTTGGTGGTGCGATAAATGTATTATTGGTTAATTCCCGATGACACGATTTTTGCTTGGTTTGCAAACACAACTGACCAGTAACATTCTGATCTGAATTAACTTCATTAGTTTCTAAATCGAAAATTGCACGAGCAGCAATACTTAACAAATCATCTGTTTGTACTGTTTTTTCTTTAGGTAATTCACAAGTTATGGATTGATTTTTGGGTAGAAACGACTCTGGATATGTTACAGAGAATGTGTGACCGAGGAATTTCTTTTGAGATATATATTCAGGATTTAAAGTGGCCAGATCGACGAGAAATGAATTCCCATCCATTCTGCTCTCCGTCTTTCCCATCCAGAATAAACATATGGATTTTAACCCCGAGAACCCGATCCAACTGCTGGTGAAGAAACTGTCTGGTAAAGCCACATCGAGCATCTTATAGTGATTTACAATTTCAGTAGGTGCGGGCATTAATTGACAATTCAATTTCCCGACTAACTGATAAAAATCTTCCATTGTCATGAAATCATGTAAAAGAGTTAGAATTTGATGACAATTTACAAAATATTTCTCGCTGTCGTGGCCATTTATATGAAATGCTGCCAATGACGTGTTATTCAATATAACACGCCCTATTTCAGCTACTACATATTCCTTGTCTGGTCGTGAAGAACTTTTCGGTTGTTCGATTAAAAATGTATTTAACTTGGTATAGTTCGTAATGTTTGTCACAACTTGACTAACATTTAAAAGATTGTCTTTTGCACATTTATGCCCTAATACTTTTTCATAGGCGACAGTTGTCCCACTTTTACTATTGTTAGTATTACATGTATCTAAAAGCCAGCAAACAAGACCGACACTTAAGAGGGTACGCTTAGAATAAGATGGAGGGAGCATATTTCTTTGTTTCAAATAATCCTTTTCCTCATTTAATAAACGATCAGACATTGCTGGGAAAGTTTTGGTAAAGAACGAATCTAATACTGAATTCATTGGTTTTGGAAACATACATCTGTGATCCAATTGTCCTCGACTCAGAAACCACACACCATTGCGCTTAAAACTACACAATTCTACGTTATTTATTACAACTCGTCCAACGTGATGTAATATGATCGCTTTATTGTATCGTATTAATGTTTGCTCCACAGATGGACAAACACTAGCTGGATTACGACAATCACAAAATTGAGGCAACGGAAGACACTTTTCTTTCGGCGGTGAAACCGAATTTTGGATCATTATACATGTATCTAATTTGGTTATTGGAGTTGTCTGATCTTTGGAAACACTTCTAGCAGCTCTTTTCTTTCTTGGTCTTTTCTCCATCGGCTGGTTACTACTGGTTACGCAATCTACATTCATGGCTACATCTTCCACCGCAGCTGGTAGATTAACCTGTTGAATTGATTGAACACTGCTGAATGACGATGGATTTATTTCTTTCCCGACTTGAACATGTGAAAATAGAATATTTAGGTCTTCATTATTGTTGGTTGGGATTTCTGTTCTGTCTGTTCCAGCTGTATAGTTATTGATTATCTGATCTCCCATGCATGTCTCTAAAACTTTCAGAGTTTCAGAAGACAAGTTGGGAAGAGGGTTCATATTCATTGATGAGTTTGTCATATCCATCATCGGATCAGCCAACACATTGGAAATGGGATAATGATTTAAGACGGATGTTGCCTGAATGTCAAATTGTCTATTCACTCCCTCAAAAAGATCCTCTATAGAGGGCAGCTTATTCTTGTAGTTTCCGTTGAAATCACAATTTGTGCTGGGAATAACAGAGGTTTGCGTATTACTTGTATTAGAAGAACAGGTGTTTATTTCGGCAAACAATGTGGAAGGTGTTGAATTTATAACAGACTGTGATGATCTATAAAAGTTTTGTTGATCTGAATGCAATGAAACAGGATTCCTAATAAGCTGATGCTGTCCGAGGGAAGTGTCTGGCATTGCATTATTGGGATATTTCTGTATTACATACTGACTGTTTGGATTAATATTATTGAGAGATGCTGATAATAAATTGGTATTTTTATCTTGTACTGAAGCTATAGAAGTGATAAAATCCAAATGGTCCATGGTTAACAGTTTAATAAACAAGTATAATCCACACCTCTTTCTACATGTATATAACACACCTTGGTCTTATCTATTAGATAAATCATTCTTGAACGTTCATGTCACATTTTTACAAGTCTGAGAATCATTTTAATGGAACATCTGAAGATTATTTAATTCTGAAACATAAAAGAATAAACTTGTTAAAAATATTTAAGTTTAATATACAGATACAATGGTAATATAGCTTTTTGATTTTGAATTCATATTTTCAATCGTTTGTAGAGCTTAAAATGTTTCTAGTGATACAGAAGTTAAAAGTTTAAACACAATCTACTTGTAGTATACATAGATGTTTATGGCAAGTTTTATTTCAAATTTCATTCTCCTGATGTTGGTGATGCTCAATAGTGGGTGCTGAGTCTGAATGTCCCAAATTGACAGAATTGCAATCAAGTGACACAGAACTGAGTCATGTCGTAATTCTGTCAGTCTCAACAACTGAGGTGATGTAGAATCGTGATGTAATTAAACACAGTGTTATTTTTTCTCAACTGTCATGGTGGTTTGAGATATTTTCTTATGTAGTCGGCGTATGTGTAGTCCAAATCTTTATGTCCAACACTGATAATGCTATGCAAGAAAACCTTTATTTTTGTTTGAATGAATAAAGGACATTTTTTAATCACTTTTTTCCTGCAGTGAATTATTTTGGTTTATATCATGAATCTCACACAAGGTTTCTGTAAACTAATGATGTTCATTATTTGCTTTGTGAAGATAGAAAGCATTCTATTTTTGTCTATTTTTTAAGCCCAAGGCAACAAGGATACTGCTACGCTGGCATGTTCCTGAAGCAACGACTGCGATTTTTACAACATCTGGACGTTGCTAGATTACTTCACAATTCCCAAACTTTTAGCTACGTTATCTGCAGACATGAGAACAGTAGCGTCCAATCAGAGGTTGTGACATAGCAACCTCCACGGAAAACCTTGACATTGAACAAACCTTGAACTTTGCAACTCAATTATCACAGATAGACATTTTAGCTTGAAAGCGTGAGACTTGGTATTCGCGATGATCGAGGAATTTGATAAGCTCTCAAGCTGGGTGAATACCCAATCGAAATTTGTGCCGAAATATGCAGGGTAGACTATTACACACGTGAAGGCCTCGATAAGATGATGTACGTAGTTACATGTAAAGCGAGATCATGCCTTCTCTATGGAAGATGCTATGCATGAAAACTGTTAATTTGTCGGTCGAAATCCTCCATTTTATTGACTGGCATCTTTCATGGGAATGTCACTGGCGAATGCAATTCCGGAACGTACCGATTGAAAATTAAATTTCTGCAGATGAGATTGATTGTGTGTTTATTCTATCACTTTAGTTACTTGTTTCTGCAATACCCTAATAAAGTTTTATCAGTGGAATTTCTTCCTATTAACTTGCTGCTGACAAATGCATCAATTCTATATTATTTCGACTTAAATGCGAGAAATACCTCAAAATAAATATGAACACCGATTTGTCAGCACAATACTGGATCTTCAATGAGTTACTTTCTATTTTTCACTCGGCAACCGGCTGCAGATTTCACTCGGCCAACTTCGGTTACTCCTCTACACCAAACCATGTTTCCAAACAGAATTATCTTTCCGTGACCCGCAAATTATATTTTTAACTGGTTTGCTTTTGGCGCAATATTCTGATGTTTAGGCTAACACTGTTTTTAACGGCGTCAGCTTCTTATATTTATTGGGCTACAAACACTAAACAGTTGTCTTTTATTTTCTGAGGAGATTTTCTGACCTGGGTAATGTAAATGAAGTTTGTTACTTTATAGTAGGCTAGTATTTGACTAAAACTGCATAAATCAAATCTTAATCATAGATGTACCGATTGTAAATAATTTTTTTTGCTGACGAAGTCTTTTCTAACTTTTGGGGTAAGACTACTAAGTAGCCTACATTGAAATTAGTGCTAGTACAGTAGAAGTGGTCTTGGCGTCGGGTAATCGATATGAAAACAAGTCTACATTATAATTAGGCCTAGATATCTACCTAGTCCGACTTCATTTCAAGCATTTTATTTATACCCCTTAAGTTGTAGTAGTGACAGTTTAACTACAAGTAAGTGCAACCAACAGGGGGTCACAGTATCGTGACTCGTGGACTTGTCAGGAGTATAACTTGAGCCTGAGAATGATCAATGAGATACACACAAATGGATAAGTCTGATAATCAGTTAATAAATCAGATGTAACTTGTAAATAAAGGCACTGTATGACAGTGTATGTAGGCCTACATATGATATATATTCTAAATACTAATAAATAGGCCTAGTAGTATTGTTTTATTAATATTACCTATTTATTAATTAATAGGGTTTCAGGTCAAACTCAAAGTTTCAAATGATCAAAACGCTCTATATACCAGTCAATGCGTGGGATGGCACCAAAATAAGTGCTTTTCTGTCATATTTGAGTGACGTCATGAGTCATAAGCGGTATTTTCCCTTCAGAATCGCTATACTGGCTAGGCTCTATATAGTACCAATTTTAAAACTGAATGAAATCCGCACGTTATTGTCAGCTAAGATTTATTAAAATCATAATTATATATTATAGATCTAATTTCAAATATTATACTTAACTAATAGAATCAATTAAGCTTTTACTATCTAATATGGTCGAAGCTCAGGTCCTAAAAACGCCTTTAATTTATGGTTTCTGTTATTCTTAAATAGATATTGTTAGGGACCTCATGCTGGAGGTTCGGTCGCATGATCATTTAATGTTCGAATTCTATACAAAATTGTAAAGTCTGAAGTTAGTATCAATGTAATTTGCTTATCTGGTCAACAAAGGTCCATTTACATTGATTTTGATGGAAAATTAGATCTGAATTACATATTACATATTTAAAGTTTATATTTCTTGATTATAAAGGTAGAATTTGAAATTATTTTTTCAGTGTTTTAAATGGGTTGGTTTTTTTTTTTGATGGCTTTGACCATTAAATTGAAAAAAATCAATGAAATGGACCTTTGTTGTGGTGTGGATAGGCTTGGGTGTAGGGGTGCCGGGAGCCCAAGTAGTGTCGTTAAAAAAGTATTAACATTAGTGTTACTTTACTCTTATTTTATGAAAGTTTTTTTCGCAAGTTGATTTCCTTTATTTTTTTAATGTAGAATGGTAATGAACTGCTTTTTTCCTTTTCTTTGCTTTATTTGTTCCGTTTGAATTTGATTTATCTGTTTAGTTTTTGATTGTTTAATTATTGTTTTTGTTAATTAAGTTGATTCTTTTAAACTTTGTTTTTATTTTTATACGTCCGTCGTCCACAATTTCTTGTGAACGCTCTAGAGACTAAAGTTAATATCTGATATTTACTGCCAGAGTTATAGCCCTTGATCACTTTGATAAATCTTGTGAACGCTCTAGAGGCTAAAGTTAATATCCAATGGACTCCAAATTGTTACACAGTGTGTAAGGTCATGAGACGAAGAAGCCTAATGATTTTCAGCGATATCCGATAATTACTACCAGAGTTATGGCCCTTGATCACTTTGAAAAATCTTGTGAACACTCTAGAGGCTAAATTTAAAATCCAATTGACTTTAAATTTATACACAGTGTTTAAGGTCATGAGACAAGACGCCTATTGATTTTCAGCGAGATCTGATGATTACTGCAAGAGTTATGGCATTGATATGTGAGAGACATCAGTTTAAAGTCGATTCTGGTTATTATAATCTAATGTATGAACTTTGTGTTGATTTTACCAGCCTGTAATTGTGGTATCATAATTAATTGTGATTTTAACATTTTTTTTAGTTAACTATATTAAATGAATTCCAAATGTACGTGTTGGCGAGGGGGTACATTAATAATTATATGTTTTTGTAGTACATGTTCCTTGTTTTATAATAAAACTACGCCCTTTCATTTTTCAGAAGAAAAGTATAGAAAATATTTCCAATTATCTATCTTGAGGTAAATCAGTTTATTATTTTCATTAACAGTTCTTATTTTTGTAAATTTTTATGTAAATCAACTACTTGTCATTGGAGTGCATCTCAAAATTCACTTTCCTTATCTACATAAAGTTTATGTAATAAGTTATAGTGTGTAAATTTGAAGTAAGTTCATATGTTTTTTTATTAATTATTTACAGATCACAGAGATTGAATGCTGCAGGTCTTGTGTTTAGTGTATAGACTAATTGGTGGATGTTATTAACATTAACCTTTTAGCAAAGGTTAGCTTGATGATGTTACTGACTTTGCAGTGTAGTGGAAGATGTTAACCTAACTTTGGTAGACAACAAGCCTAACCCTGAAGTCAACGATGTACAATATGTCAGTGTCACTGTTCCACTACCAAACGTAACGCGAATATAAACAATACTTACGGGTACATGTATTTACTTTGATTGAAATGAGGTCAACTTAAAAATTTGTGTAGATGTGTTATTTGTTGTAACAGTTATATCCATAAAAGTTATATCCATAAAATGTAAATTGTATTTTCTCTATATTAGTATAACAGATTAAACGAAATAAGATTATTTCACTCATGACTCGTAGTCACCCACCATCGTAGAAGTGTCAACATATCGAGAACACGCATTCATGAACCATGATTAGTTGGGACAAATTAATAATGAGGAATACTGTTTTCAAAGGCCTTAAGACAGGAAAGTGGTTATTGGTCACAACATTCATGTGTCACTGCAGGGGAGGGGGTGGAGTCAAATGATAATGCATTCGTGTTGGATAATAAGGTCTGTCATTTAGTGAAGAGGCTTAGCTTCGTTTCCAAGAGTAGGGTCGACTGCATTCCCACTGTTAAGATTTCGAGAAACAGGGCCCAGATTCTCACATCAGATACTTGAACCACAGAAAAGGTTACCTTTCAGAAAATTGGCTCTGTAGCCTAAAACTGAATCACCTATATCTCGGTTCAGAGCAAAGCAATCTGACTGAAATTTCAGCATTTTCTGTTTCTATTATTTATTGTTGAACTATTATAGCGAGAACTGTCAGCTCTTATCTAATCTTACCCAATGGCGCCAATGCCCCTTTAAAATGCCCCTTATAAATCTAGTTTAAAATCCAAATATTTGTCTAAACTTTAGACAGACCTTATGATCTACTAGTATTCTCCAGTTGGTCAATTTCACTGCAAGTCAGTCAAAACGGCCAAACATGACTGGCGAAAATAAGACAAATAAGGTTGGAAGTACCTTCAAAACAAACCATGGCACTTGAATCAATGACAGACCTTATGATCTAAAGCATACATCAGACCACTCAACCACACAACTGGTAAAGACTTTAGACAAATATTTGGATTTTAAATTAGAAACAAAACCATACTGTTGAAGATGTAATTGAGACAAGACATTAGACTAGCACTTATATTTATTAGCAAAAAAAAGCCAACAATTTGATTGGTTTTAGTGCTTAGCCAATCAAAATTGAAATTTCTACTAAAATTTGGATTTGATCTTAGTTAAAATTTCCCTACTTTTAAGTTCTGGTAAAATGTCCTTATGTGTCGGAAGTTCTGATTTGTCGACTAAACGAAAGCGACCAGACTGTCCACCGTTGGCTTTGAGAAATGCGACAATTTTGATCGGTGACATACTTTGCGTTACAATGGTGTACATCTGATTTCTAGTGGAATGATTTATAAAGCGAACTGGAACGGGGAGGTTATACAGTAAGCCGTTAATCTGGCGTGTGATATGATGAGGGAAAGCAGGTCCAAACAGTAGATCTTTTAGCATTTTAACTTTAATGAATTCGTCTAGTCGTGCCTGGGCAGCTTTTAAAATAAATCTATCAGCATGACGGTAATGTGGTTTTCTAGGATATTTCTTCTTAGCCTGTGAATCTGTTACTTCTTCCTTCATTTCAACATCTGTGTCACTGGTCTCAGTTTCTGAATCAGTTCCCTCAGCTGTAGTAGCTGTAACGTTTTCTCCTGCATCCTCGGCAGCTTTCTTCAACACCTCCGCTTCTTTAAGCAACGTATCAAAACTGACAGATTCTATCGCTTGATCAGGTTTAGTGTAAGCAGAAACCTGGAATTAAAAACGATTTACTAAGACATGATATCTAGGTTAACTTTAAATAATGGCATTTATCAATTAAAGGTCAAATCTGTGCCTAGCCAGGAAGGCATTTTTATGTGCAATACAAGAGCAGAACGAAAACCAAGGTGGCTCAGTACATGAGGTGCCAGCTCTGTGGATAAGCCATCGGCTCAGGGGTTAAGCCACCAGCTCAGTTGGTAAGACAATGTCTCAGTGGGTAAAGACCCACCTCTGTGGGTAAACCGCTGGCTCGGTGGGTTCTGACTCGGTGTGTAGGACACTGGCTCATTGATAAGAATCTGTTTTTAATCTGGCCAATGAAGTTCCTCAGGTTTTTCCAGCCTTTTTTCGTCTTGTTGCAAGGGCAAGATGGACTGGACAAGAAAAAAGGTCCCTTGTATAGCCATTGGCAGCATGTTGACGGAACGGGAAAAAAATGCACGATACTGGACATGAGATTCTACTCCTTGTCACATACAAGCTTGGCTCAAATTGATTCAAGGACATATCTTATGATCTAAAGGGCATGCATTAGACCACTAGACCAGCCCACCCATATATCAATCTTCTGGTGTTGTCACAGGATAACCCTGCTCAAGGGACAGGAACGTTGCTTCAGTGAAAGGGTGTAGAAATGCAATGCTTGGCTAAATTGGTTTTTATACGCCCACACTGAAATGTGGACGTATATTGCCGTCGCCCCCGTCCGTCCGTCTGTCGGTACGTCCGTCGGTCCGTCCGTCCATCGTCCACAATTTCTTGTGAACGCTCTAACGCCAAAAGTTATCATCCAATTGTTTTAAAATTGATATATGTTGTTTTCATTAGTGAGATGAAGAAGCCTATTTAATTTCAATAACTTCTGTTTATTACGTCTAGAGTTATGGCCCTTGTTTCACTTTGTTGAACCTTGTGAACGCTCTAATGCCAAAAGTTAACATACGATCTTTGTGAAATTTATATGCAATATTTATGTTAGTGAAACGAAGAAGCCTATTGAATTTCAACAATTTCTGTTTATTACGTCTAGAGTTATGGCCCTTGTTTCACTTTATTGAACCTTGTGAACGCTCTAACTCCAAAAGTTATCATCCGATCTTTCTGAAATTTACATGCATTATTTAAATTAGTGAAACGAAGAAGCCTATTGAATTTCAGCAATTTCCGTTTATTACGTCTAGAGTTATGGCCCTTGTTTCATGTTATTGAACCTTGTGAACGCTCAAACGAGAAAAGTTATCAACCGATATGCATCATTTAAATTAGTAAAACAAAGAAGCCTATTGAATTTCAGCAATTTCCGTTAATCATCTAGAGTTATGGCCCTTGTTTCACTTTGTTGAATCTTGTGAATGCTCTAATGACAACAGTTATCATCCGATCTGTTTGAAATTGATATGCATGATTTAAATTAGTGAAACGAAGAATCCTATTGAAGTTCAGCAATTTCCTTTAATTACGCCATGAGTTATGGCCCTTGTTTCACTTTGTTGTACCTTGTGGTTGCTTTAACGACAAAAGTTATTATACGATCTGTATGAAATTTAAAGGTATCGTTTAAATTAGTAAAACGAACAAGCCTATTGAGTTTCAGCAAATTTCCGTTAATTACATCTAGAGTTATGGCCCTTGTTTCACATTGTTGAATCTTGTGAACGCTTGAACGACAAAAGTTATCACCCAATCTGTATGAAATTCATATGCATCATTTAAATTAGTGAAATGAAGAAGCCTATTGAATGTCAGCAATTTCTGTCAATTACTTCTAGAGTTATGGCCCTTGTTCTACTTTGTTGAATCTTGTGAACGTTCGAACGACAAAAGTTATCATCCGATCTGTATGAAATTGATATGTATTATTTGAATTAGTAAAACGAAAAAGTCTGTCGAATTTCAATAATTTCTGTAGATTACTTCCTGAGTTACAGCCCTTATTTTAGTTTTTAGAACCTTGTGAACCCTCAAACGACGAAAATTATAATGTCATCTGTATGAAGTTGTCTATTAAATGCCCCCTAATTACCTACAAAAGAACAAATATACGACAACTCTTGTCGACCGCTCGGACGATTTAGCTGCTGTGGGCGTATGTTTAGTTGCCTGGCAACCTATCTTTATATAATGTAGGCCCTATTTAGCTCAGGAATCCATAGCCCTAAAGCTAATTCAAGTATTCAATAGAATAACTTACCTCTATGACTGGTTGTGTTTCGTAGAGCTTAAACAAGATATCAGCTGCTGCAAAATTTCTAGAGCCTATCTTACTAAGAGACACTGCAGGTTCGGTTCCAACATCTTCCTTCTGTATCTTCATCTGACATCTTAAAGTAAAAAAAGAGAGAAATGGGGATTAACACTCACACAAAACAAACCAACATTTTTGGACTGACACCCAGGAGGTTTGACTCAATGAAAGATCTTATGAGCTTGGACCACTCAACCACCCCTAAAAACAAAAGAAGAGTAACAAGCAAACTGAACATTTCAAAATTTTGATCAATGGGACAAGACTAGATCTTAAAGCTACAATTTCATATTTGTTAAGTTATATTTTTAAAATTTATTAAAATAAAGCCTTAAAATAGATGGTATCCATACACAGTCCTACCTTGTTAAAGAATAATCCTATTAATCCTATAATTCACTATTGCCAGCTGCGAAATTGGCAAAATTATCATTTTCGAATTCCAACATTTGAAGATAGCTAATGCATGGAGGCAATAGGAAAACAAGGGAGGTAATTGTGTTATTATTTCCTGTGTCAATGATTTTTAAGGGTGGGAAATAATGCCCATAGTCGTATAATAGTGAGTTGATAACCTATTGAGCAAAAGACATAGAAATAATTATGTTTTGACTTTCATAGAAAATATGAAATTCTGGCTTGAAGGCTAAGGCCAGGAAACACAGCCTAAGTCTTACAGTTAAGGCCGGAAGACGCAAGACTACAGTAGGTCTTAAGAGATTCAAGACTAGGTCTTAAGAGACACAAGACTAGGCCTTACAGTTGAGGCCAGAAGATACAAGACTAAGCCTTACAGTTGAGACCGGAAGACACAAGACTAGGCCTTAAGATTATGGCCGGGAGACCAGACTAGGCCTTAAGGCAACTTACCTGAATACACGATCATCATTGTCAAAAAACTCCCATTCCAACAACATATTGTTGACAAAACATGAATGTTGTAAAATATAGAAACCTTGAACTTTACGATCTACTATCCAACTGACGTCCTCAAAGACAACGATATCCTTGGCTGGTAGTGTTGATATAGGTTTTCGGGTCCATTGTAAGCGATGAAGATTCGAACAGTTATCTTCCAAAATGCAGTTGCCCTTGACACGAAAGTCGATAACATCTGTTGCTGCTTGGTCGTGTGGTTGAAGTTTACTGTGTTGGGGGAGGATGAACTCGGGGTCACAGTTCGTGAAACCTATCGGGCTTTAGAGTAAGCGTCTGCTTGGGCATCTGTTCGGTTCTCTGCTTCACCAATCATGATGAAATGACCAGCTAGATAGAGGTTACAGAAAATTTTCTCCTTTTCTATTTCTGTGTTGATGCTACGACGGTATAGACAAATGGGCGTCAATTTTACATCGTTGAAAATTCCATCCAAGACAGTAATGATGGATGCAGGATGCGTGGCACTGCTATGTTCGTTCATTTTGACAAACTGTTCACGGAGATCAAATGCCCTAGGATTTGGTGCTGCCTTTACCAAAGTGCTCTGAACCTGTGCTTCTGCTTCTGTTATGACAGACTGTTCGACACCATCTAAGATGTTGCCATGTTCAACATTCATGGTGGTCAGTCGTTCAACCACCATATTATAACACAATGACTTAGCAGTTTTTTTGGAAACTGAAACACCTGCACCTTGTAGTATGTTGTCAATAAAGTACATTCCCTTATGATAAACTTTCCCTGATTCAGCTTTACAACTCTCTACATCATATCGACAACGGACTCGACATTTAGCCACAGAGGCCGCCAACTCCATTTTGCTGACTGAATTGGTTGAAGCATATTTAGGATTGGTTAGAATATCTTGGATCGGTTTCAAAATAGATGGTGGGGGTAACTCTGCAATTGTTTCTTTCTCCATCTTAGCAACGGTCGAGTTAAAATTCTCCAGTTTCTCCTTGATAACTTTTGGGGTCATATCATCCTGGTTCAAAATTTCAGTGACAGGAAGGGTACGATAAAGTTCCACCGCCTTCTTGAAACATGACAGTTTGATTTCTTTCTTGTTGATGCCGATAGCTCTGGCTAGGAACACACCACCCAGATTAAGTCGGCCAGTGAAAAAGGATCCGTTCTTTCCTTGTACCATGCCATCGATCAAAAAATCTGGTCAAATTCCAACTTTACAACTCATCAGAGAATTCTCAAACAACTAAAATGAAATAAAATAGGATTTAATGGGAAAGAGAGGAAAATGGGCTTTATTGTTCACTCGACACTAGGTCATTTCGGGACTAACATATAGTTCATTTTATTTCATTAGGGGTCTTTAGCAGTGGAAGGAAACCCTGAGGACATGGAGAAAACGCACGAGGTTGAACAGACGACCCTACTCCTTGTCACGTACAAGCGGGTAATGACGCATTAACGCTTCGACCACCCAAACTCGCCCAACTGGTCTTATGTAGATGGGCAAATAAAAGAATTTTATACGTAATACATGCTTGAATAAAAATAAAAATAAAAATAAAGCAGAATCTGTGTTTTTAATGAGATTATTGTGAAAAATATTAAACATGCATTATGCAAGAGCTAAACCTGTCAATTTCAGGTCTTTCTTTAGGCCTGAAATCTTATCTAAATTATTAATTAGACATTAATTAACTTATCCAGACCATAATAAACTCCCGATGTCAAGGCTAGCCTTCGATGTCGACTGGATTACAATTCTATATGCTGCTATCGCTCATTGATAATTAAATCACAACAATAGACAATCGAGACTATTAGTTTCAAGGCTAGGCGAAACTTTCATCCGCTTAGTTTTCGGTTCATAGTGGACCAATTTGACTGACATTTTCAGCAAATTCCCTTTCCATTATGTAGTTTTTAACTATTATAGTGAGAACTGCTAACTCGTTATCTTATCTCCATCTCCCATAATGTATCTTTAATAAATAAAACCTCACCATAATTTCATTGATTACTTTTTTTTCACTTCGTAAAAACATTGAAAGTCGTCGAATTTTTTCTGCTAGCGGCAATTTTGTGGCATCGATTGGTTCTGGGTTGGGTGTTTTGTGTACAGCGGCAGCAGGCAGACCTTTGTTATCAATGGGGCGTGTCTGGCAGCCTGGTAATGTTTCCCATTTCTTCTCTGTAAATAAACCATTAAAAAATGTAGTTTGTTAAAGCTGCATTTAGTAACTGTATTGAATAAACAATGACTAATATACCGGTGTATTAAATACAAGTTTTTTCACAGTTCATTTCTGACGACGTCTTGAAAAGTGTTCTCTTGTATTTATCAAGCCACAAACAAAATAAACTTCTAAATAACTTGTATTCTGAATATTGTTTAGTGCCCAGGTTCACTTTGCTCATTTCTGTTGATCAGCGGCTGGGGAGGGGGGGGGGGAATAGGTTTTACATTTAGATTCAGAACGAACATGATTCTTCTACAGCCATCCTTTTTACAGTGGTTACAACTTAAACATACAGGTTTCAAGTTTAACTGACTACCATGACTAGAGAATAGAATAACGTGATTTATCAACGAATTAACAGAATTTTAAAACAAAATTAAAAGCTTTTGAGCAGTAGTACAGGTAAAAATTATGTGTGTCAAAAAGATAAGCACCACCGTTTAAAATGAGGTCTGTTTGATATTTAACCATCAACAATAAATTCAGATGGTTTTTATTTGGAACCATGTAATATCCATCACAAAATACTTCCAGCATAAGTCTTGCCACTCCAAGAAGAATAGTATCAGGTTCCTTTGGTACCATGGTACTAATCAAACAAGAGGTGTTGAGGACGTGATCCAAGTGAGAGAGGGGGGGGGGGTTGGATGGCTGAATGGTTAGCTGTATCATAAAGTCTGTCATTGAGTCAACTGGCGTGGTTTCGAATCCCCGGTTGTACGTGACAAGGAGTAGGGTCGCCTGTCCAACCTCGTGGGTTTCCTCCGGGTCCTCCGGTTTCCTCCCACAGCTAAAGATCCCTACGCGCAAGCGAATTATGGAAATAAAATTGAACCATATGTTAGTCGAGTGGACGTTAAACCCCATTTCTCTCTCTCTCTCCAAGTGAGAGAGGGATACACATGACGATGGTTATCACTACTCTTGTCTGTAATCCTCATCCTTTTCCTGACCAGATCATCTAATGGACTCCTATATTTTTCGAAATCCTCAATTAAAAAATATCTATTACTTAAATGACCAAATATTCCTGTCTTGTTTTACTTTAAGGTGGTCCTTAACCTTTTGTCAGTTGTATTTATTTTTATAACTTACTTGCACCACCGGCACTGTTTGCGGGAGTTCCAACACCTCCTATAGAATTCAACTCATTGTTAAAAATATAATTTGCGGGTCACGGAAAGATAACTCTGTTTGGAAACATGGTTTGGTGTAGAGGAGTAACCGAAGTTGGCCGAGTGAAATCTGCAGCCGGTTGCCGAGTGAAAAATAGAAAGTAACTCATTGAAGATCCAGTATTGTGCGATTTGTCAACCATGTTGATTTCCGCGGATTTTCGTCCACTTCCGGTTCTGGTATTCGACCACTGGTCTTTAAAAATATCCTTTTGAGAACTTTACCTTTATTTCCCCCAGTTGATTTTAACCTTTTGATATAAATATTTATGCGTTTACAACTTATTTAAACACTACTATGAAAATCTTTTAATTTGACTACATATACTTTAGGAAAAAAAGTAAAAGTAGACCTTAAAATTGGCTGGGGCTATTTGCCACATGTGGTAAGACAATCCGGAGACTATTTGCCACATGTGACAAGTCTCATTTCATGTGGCACGGCTACAGACCACAATTATCAACCGATTTCAATGAAACTTACAGATTATAATAAGAGTATTAATATCTCAAACTAGCTTTCGGCCACTTCCGGTTAACGGTTTCCGAGATATTAGGTTACCACACATTTCATGTGGCACGGCTACAGACCATAATTATCAACCGATTTCAATGAAACTTACAGATTATAATAAGAGTATTAAGAGCTCAAACTAGCCAAAATTTCGGCCACTTCCGGTTAGCGGTTTACGAGATATCAGGTTACCACACATTTCATGTGGCACGGCTACAGACCCCAATTATCAACCGATTTCAATGAAACTTACAGATTATAATAAGAGTATTAAGAGCTCAAACTAGCCAAAATTTCGGCCACTTCCGGTTAGCGGTTTCCGAGATATCAGGTTACCACACATTTCATGTGGCACGGCTACAGACCACAATTATTAACTGATTTCAATGAAACTTACAGATTATAATAAGAGTATTAATATCTCAAACTAGCCAAAATTTCGGCCACTTCCGGTTAACGGTTTCCGAGATATCAGGTTACCACACATTTCATGTGGCACGGCTACAGACCACAATAATCAACCGATTTCAATGAAACTTACAGATTATAATAAGAGTTTTAAGAGCTCAAACTAGCCAAAATTTCGGCCACTTCCGGTTAGCGGTTTCCGAGATATCAGGTTACCACACATTTCATGTGGCACGGCTACAGACCACAATTATCAACCGATTTTAATGAAACTTACAGATTATAATAACATTAATATCTCAAACTAGCCAAAATTTCGGCCACTTCCGGTTAGCGGTTTCCGAGATATCAGGTTACCACACATTTCATGTGGCACGGCTACAGACCACAATTATCAACCGATTTTAATGAAACTTACAGATTATAATAACATTAATATCTCAAACTAGCCAAAATTTCGGCCACTTCCGGTTAGCGGTTTCCGAGATATCAGGTTACCACACATTTCATGTGGCACGGCTACAGACCACAATTATCAACCGATTTTAATGAAACTTACAGATTATAATAACATTAATAATATCTCAAACTAGCCAAAATTTCGGCCACTTCCGGTTAGCGGTTTACGAGATATCAGGTTACCACACATTTCATGTGGCACGGCTACAGACCACAATTATCAACCGATTTCAATGAAACTTACAGATTATAATAAGAGTAATAATATCTCAAACTAGCCAAAATTTCGGCCACTTCCGGTTAGCGGTTTACGAGATATCAGGTTACCACACATTTCATGTGGCACGGCTACAGACCACAATTATCAACCGATTTCAATGAAACTTAGAGATTATAATAAGAGTATTAATATCTCAAAATAGCCAAAATTTCGGCCACTTCCGGTTAGCGGTTTCCGAGATATCAGGTTACCACACATTTCATGTGGCACGGCTACAGACCACAATTATCAACCGATTTTAACGAAACTTACAGATTATAATAACATTAATAATATCTCAAACTAGCCAAAATTTCGGCCACTTCCGGTTAGCGGTTTCCGAGATATCAGGTTACCACACATTTCATGTGGCACGGCTACAGACCACAATTATCAACCGATTTCAATGAAACTTACAGATTATAATAAGAGTATTAATATCTCAAACTAGCCAAAATTTCGGCCACTTCCGGTTAGCGGTTTCCGAGATATCAGGTTACCACACATTTCATGTGGCACGGCTACAGACCATAATTATCAACCGATTTCAATGAAACTTACAGATTACAATAAGAGTATTAATATCTCAAACTAGTCAAAATTTCATGTGGCACGGCTACAGACCACATTTATATACCGATTTCAATGAAACTTACAGATTATAATAAGAGTATTAATATCTCAAACTAGCCAAAATTTCGGCCACTTCCGGTTAGCGGTTTCCGAGATATTAGGTTACCAAACATTTCCTGTGGCACGGCTACAGACCACAATTATGTACCGATTGCAATGAAACTTACAGATTATAATAACAATAATAATAATAATAATAATCAGTGGATAATTGTGGTCTGTAGCCGTGCCACATGAAATGTGTGGTAACCTGATATATCCGAAACCGCTAACCGGAAGTGGCCGAAATTTTGGCTAGTTTGAGATATTATTAATGTTTTTATAATCTGTAAGTTTAATTGAAATCAGTTGATAATTGGGGTCTGTAGCCGTGCCACATGAAATGTGTGGTAACCTGATATTTCAGAAACCGCTAACCGGAAGTGGCCGAAATTTTGGCTAGTTGGAGATATTATTAACGTTATTATAATCTTAAAGTTTCAATGAACTCGGTTGATAATTGTGGTCTGTAGCCGTGCCACATGAAATGTGTGGTAACCTGATATGTCGAAAACCGCTAACCGGAAGTGGCCGAAATTTTGGCTAGTTTGAGATATTATTAATGTTATTATAATCTTTAAGTTTTATTGAAATCGGTTGATAATTGTGGTCTGTAGCCGTGCCACATGAAATGTGTGGTAACCTGATATCTCAAAAACCCACTTACCGGAAGGGGCCGAAATTTTGGCTAGTTTGAGATATTATTAATGTTATTATAATCTGTAAGTTTCATTGAACTCGGTTGATAATTGTGGTCTGTAGCCGTGCCACATGAAATATGTGGTAACCTGATATCTCGGAAACCGCTAACCGGAAGTGGCCGAAATTTTGGCTAGTTTGAGATATTAAGACTCTTATTATAATCTGTAAGTTTCATTGAAATCGGTTGATAATTGTGGTCTGTAGCCGTGCCACATGAATTGTGTGGTAACCTGATATCTCCGAAACCGCTAACCGGAAGTGGCCGAAATTTTGGCTAGTTTGAGATATTATTAATGTTATTATAATCTGCAAGTTTCATTGAAATCGGTTGATAATTGGGGTCTGTAGCCGTGCCACATGAAATGTGTGGTAACCTGATATCTCGGAAACCGCTAACCGGAAGTGGCCGAAATTTTGGCTATTTTGAGATATTATTAATGTTATTATAATCTGTAAGTTTCATTGAAATCGGTTGATAATTGTGGTCTGTAGCCGTGCCACATGAATTGTGTGGTAACCTGATATCTCCGAAACCGCTAAACGGAAGTGGCCGAAATTTTGGCTATGCTGAGATATTATTAATGTTATTATAATCTGTAAGTTTCATTGAAATCGGTTGATAATTGTGGTCTGTAGCCGTGCCACATGAATTGTGTGGTAGCCTGATATCTCCGAAACCGCTAACCGGAAGTGGCCGAAATTTTGGCTAGTTTGAGATATTACTAATGTTATAATAATCTGTAAGTTTCATTAAAATCAGTTGATAATTGTGGTCTGTAGCCGTGCCACATGAAATGTGTGGTAACCTGATATCTCGGAAACCGCTAACCGGAAGTGGCCGAAATTTTGGCTAGTTTGAGATATCATTAATGTTATTATAAGCTGTACGTTTCATTGAAATCGGTTGATAATTGTGGTCTGTAGCCGTGCCACATAAAATGTGTGGTAACCTGATATCTCGGAAACCGCTAACCGGAAGTGGCCGAAATTTGGCTATTTTGAGATATTATTAATGTTATTATAATCTGTAAGTTTCATTGAAATCGGTTAATAATTGTGGTCTGTAGCCGCAGGGCTATTTTGACATTCTTGCTTACCACATGTGGCAAATAGCCACTGCCCTTAAAATTATAGCCTATTACTACTTTTTAACTGGATTCAATATTTGGACGTAAAATATCTTATTAACACAATACTAAGGTGGCAAGGCATTTCCAAAATGGTGTCTGACACAGGGAACCAAAAATGACACTATAAAATAGTAAACAAACAGCCATTCCTTTCTTCTTTTCAAAATAAATATTTACTAATGTCGAGTTTGACAGATCACTAATCAAAATTTCAATTTATAACTTTATTTTAATTTGACTTTTACATATCACTAGATCTGCCCTTGTTCTCTTAAATGTCTCTAAGTAATAAGCCTTGATGTGACATTAACTCCAATATCTATAACATTTGTTTATGGCCAGAAAATTTTCTTTACATGTATATTACACCATAAAGCAGACATTTTACAACAATTCTGTTAAACTGACATATATGATCAGTAAAATATTGCCCTTAAAGGGACAATAACACTCTTGCTGGCTTGACAACTCCAGAAAATAAAATAATAGCCTTATTCTAACTAGGCCTACTAGATGTATTAGTGTCTTACCTGTTGTGTAAATTATCCATTAAATCCTATTTTACTTGTCCAGAGGGTTCAAACATATTTTTAAATCCAAGTCACATTTGAAAAGCTTTACGTCAGGCTTTTCAAATCATTTAGTTGAATTTTTCAAATTTTTGTAAATAAGGTGTGTTAAGATGAAATTTGTATCATCAATTAATTGGAATATTGTAAAATAGTGCAATATGTTGACCAGAATAAAGATTGGGACATATTATTCAGTTACAACAAGAGTGGTATTGAGCCTTTAATTAAGATAATTATCATTATTATAAAGTTCATTTAATATTCACTTGAAACTAACCAGGGAAATTTTGCCAAGGCAGCTGCACTGCTGCCTACTCTTGTGTGAAGGGTTCTTTTACATGCATGCCAATATGTACACGGGACCTGTTTTTATTGTCCCATCCAAACGACTAGTCCCTCTGTCCTGCACCACTGACAAGGGGGAACGACAACAGAAAATCCTGAACTTTCCTAGCCACCACTGGGATAGATCACAGACCCTCAAGGTAAGAGAACGATAACTGAACGAGCATTCTACTGTTTAACAATAACCGTGTTCAAGTTTAAACTTGACTGCAATAACCATACCATATTGGATACTGCTCCAGACTGTGATAAAATTCAAGACATTACACTGTTTACATTGTTGTACAATAAAAGATCCCTTGGCAGTTGGAATTTGATATAAGAGTAGGCTGTAGCGCCACTGTCTGGGCAAAATTTCCCTCATAGCACACTGTATGGCGTATGCCCGTCTTCATTAGCTCAGTTGGTACAGAACAGTAGGACGTTTAAACTCATTTCATTTCATTTCATATTGTTTTTAATATAAATACAACTAAAAGTAAAACAAAAAAAACCCAATATTTAATTCACTTGTCAGATAACAATATTTGTGAACATAATAGCATTGTATATAAGTGTTAACCACTAACCATCATGAATAACCATCGTTAAATCAAGTTGGAGTAAATTTGATCAAATTCAAAGACCTTTAACATTAAAGATGCATTACGTAAGAGCTAATTCTGCCCGTTACAGTGCTTTGCAATTACAGATTCTGACCCACTACATGTATCTCGTATGCAGAACTATCATTCCGCTGTTTTTCAAGGAGACTTATATCATATTTGTTACCGTGTTTATCTAAAAAAAAAACTTACAGATTGTTTCAATAAATGACAACCATGGTCACAGTTGGCCAGGTGCTCTCTCTCTCTCTATGCATGTATATAAATGACCCTGACCTTAAACATCTTTATTTGCACCCTTAAAAGACACTGTATATCCAGAAGATAATTACCATCTACACTCCACTCCCTATGTCTTAGGGATAAGTACCACCAACCCCTTGACCAGTAGCTGAGCGATGATTACCACCCACACCCAATTCCAGTACTGTAGATATTTCTTAAAAGATAATTACCACCCACTCCTCTGGATATACCTAAAAGATAATTGCCACCCATACACATCGTCCCTGTGTGTAGCTCAGGGATAATTGCCACCCACCCTCTGCCTATAGATCAGGGATACTTACCACCCACACCTTTGCCAATAGCTTAGAGATAATTACCACCCACACCTCTGCCTATAGCTGAGGGATAATTACCACCCACTCCTCTGCCATTAGCTTAGAGATAATTACCACCTACATCTCTGCCTATAGTTAAGTTCCACCCCTCTCTCTTTAGCCTATAGCTTACCACCATACTCCCCCCCCTCCCCAGCCTATAAATAATTACATAATTACCACCCACACCCCTCTTCCTATACATGTAGCTTATGGCTCATTACCACCCACACCTCAACATATAGATAATTACCATGCATCCTCCTCTTCTCTATCTATAGCTTAGGGAGGTTAGGGATGACACTTTTTATAATGATCTAGTGGTAAAGACCATCTAGTAAAATTGGATTCTGTCTTCATAAAAGCTATGCATATTTTGTTTTTTTATTTTTATGCCAAAAAAAATCTAATAAAAGCTGGGTTAACAGATATACATTTTTTGTTGGTAGTGGGTTTATAAAAAGTGGGCATTTGGCTCACCCCAAATGGAATAACCCTCATGACAATACAGGTTGTGAACATAAATTGTAATTGTAGCCTGCATCATAAACAACCCTTTCCAATTAACTAAATACAAGAGCATTATTATAATATCTGTCCTTGAAATATTTATAAAGTCTTACTATCAGAATAACAAATTCAACGAGACATTCTCTCAAATTTATCTTTTTTTCTGTGTTTTTATTGATATTATGAATATATCAGGCATTAAGATGGAAATGTTAGGAACTAGCTCATTAGTGTCTGACATTTTGTCAGGTACAACTAAAACCATTATATTCAGAATTGTTCAAGAGGTGAGGTGACTTGCCAAATCAATTTGACATTTAGTGGAGATGTCATGTGACAGTATAGTCGATTTCAAAGTTGGCGAATTTGGTAAAAAGCAGATTAGCTGTACACAATTCTTCTGGCTGAACATAGTTGAAAGAAAAAAAACATGTTATCACCCTATCAAAGCGTCAAATCGCACCAGCGGTGATTTGTGGTGATAACTTTGGAAATCAATGTCAAAAAATTTGTTGGTTAGGGTAAGCGATTTGAATTAGATGGAAATTAAAGATGAAAATTTGACTGGATGCAAATTACTTGGGCTAATCAGTGGTGGATAAAAACGCCTCTTGTATGACCATTATAGATTACAATATCATATCAAATTATCAATATCATATCAAATTATAACGGTAATAAATCCTAATATCAATAAGAATCAATTGGATTAAAATACAGATCTATATTTCATTTTTTTTTATACTTTCGATGGCCTACACTACATGAAGATCTAACTGGTTGTAGTGGAAGGTCGCGTCAGTGGTTATACAAGCGACTTTTGACCCTATGACGCCAGACATTTGATTAACCAATCAGCATTGATGTTTCTAGTGGGTTACTCACAGTTCCGTACACCTCACGCCAAAAACTCGCTGTAACAGACCATTTCATTGGCCGATCCCTTATAAAAACAAAATATAACTCTTCCAGACAAGTAAAACGAAATTTTAAACTATAAAAAACAAAATGAATATGATCTGTGTTTTAATGAGATTGATAACGAATGCTCTATTCACAACTTTCAACAGGGGAAATCTTTTATTCTGTTTAAGTCCACGAGTGGGATAGTAGAAGATAAAATAAATATAACACAAATAATCACTTTATAAATATCTCAAATATTTTCCCTGTAAACTTTTGTATCCTATGAAATTTAAGTCAGCGTGCAGCTATGGCTTGAAACACACCATATCACTACGAGAGCACTAGCCAGAAGAAAAAAAAAACAAAATCTTTGATTAAATAGAGTTGATAATTAGCACAAAAAATAACAACAAAACTTCATTGATTTGTTATCAAATAAAACGCAACGATCAAATACCAGATCGTCTATATATATATATATATATACATACACATATGAGTAAAAGTTTTTACACAAACAAATATGTCCATTTGCATTTAGTCTTCAACCTTTGGATTTTCACACGTTTTCTTTTGGTTTTGCGGTAAAATTTGTGGATTTTCGTTACACAATATTACTCACAAGTTCAGCGTAAAATAGTTAGATCTTCACTCACAAAATGACTTATTTAATTTATTGTTTGTTTGCGTCAAATCTGTGGAACGAGAAAAGAAATTGTCTGTTTATATATATCACAGTAAAATACTCTCCAACAGTCAATAATATAATCACACGTCTGTCACTTTCTTTCTCTACGTTAATTTATTGACACATCTTCTTCAAAAGATCGTTTACGACTCCCATCACAGTTACTGAAATATAAATCATTTTATATCTAATTAACTTTGTTTATGTGTATGAAATAAACTGTCCTTTTTATCTGTTCAGCACAAAATGTAATTTACATACATTATGCAAGAGCTAAATCTGGCTATTGCAGGTCTTTCTTTAGGCCTGAAATGTCATATAAACTATTAATTAGACATTTATTAACACGAGAAGACCATAATCAACTCTTGAGCCATCTGATGGGTCTGATTTCCAACAGATTTGAATATGATCTGCAGTTTAACAGCCGCTGATGATTAACTGTAAAGATGGATAATTGAGACTTTGTTTATTATCGTAACAATGATAACAATGACAATCGAGACTACGGTCTGATCAAAATGAAGATTTCTCAGCTCAGAGAGAAGTAATTTGATTGATATATTCAGCATATTCCCTTTACATTATCTATTTTTTAACTATTATAGCAAGAACTAATAGCTCTTTATCTAATCTTCTATAATGTATCTTCAAGTAGTTCCTGATATTCTGTTAGGTAAAATGAATATTTTCAGGCCTGTCCTATTTTTCTACACCCACCAGGGTTAACGAAGAAAGGCATACCCAGTGTACTAAAAGGGAAATTTGCCTGGACACTAGCCTTACCGTCAACTCTTCGTGTCAAGGGTTCTGTTACACATGCCACCAACATGTACACAGAAATTCCTGGGTGAACTTTCTTAGCAAAGATCTGGATTGAATTCAAATCTCTTGGTTGGTGAGCCAGCATCTTTCTCAAGAGTCAGTGTGGGTCCGATTCCAGTATAAAAAAAAGTGTGTTTTTTTAATTACCTGTTGAAACCTTGCATTTTGTGCATATCACTCTGCATCTGTTTGACTTCTGCTATATAGGCTTCCATCTGATTAGCAGAAGTAGGAGGAAGAACGTTGGGTATATATCGTGAAAATAATCCAGGCTTTAAATGAACATATTCTGAAATGGATCCACAATTACATTTTTTAATTATCACATACATGTACATGTATATAATCTCAAAATGAAATGAAATGGGGTTTAACATCCTACTGTTCTGCTCTGAACTGGGCTAATGAAGACGGGCATATGCCATATAGTGTGCTATAAGGGGAATTTTGCTCTGACAGCTGCGCTACAGCATACGCTTAAATCAAATTCCGACTGCCAAGGGCTCTTTAACATGCACGCCTACGTGTACACATCATCCCATCTGAATAACTAGACAGTTGTCCTTGTCAGGCTCTACATCCTGCACCAATGAAAAAAGGAAACCATGCCGGGAAATCCTGATGATCTTTCTCGGCCAACACCGGGATCGAACCCGTGACCTTCAGACTAGTGAGGTAAGGATGTGATATTCTCATGGTGCAATCATTTCAAGCAAATCAATATGGAGGCAAAATCTTACCACCACCCACCATAATTGATCTAATATTTAAATTTATTGATGTCACACCTTTGCAAACAAATTTAAATATTTCATTATAACAATAAATAGGCCTTCTTTCAAGACATTTAACCATTCTCATATTCCCATAACCAAAGCTTTTAAAGGCCTGAATCCAGGAGAAAATTTATATAACTAACCTGAATTTAAATTGAATAAATTTTGTATTAAACTAGCCATGGTTGGCGGGGAGATAGCAAACGGCTGACTACTAGCTTCATCCACTAAATCTAGAAAAAAATTAATTTTACATTAGATTCAATTTCCTTTTGTGTTTAGCAATTTGATTGAGCTTATAAATACATATGGCAAATCCAGTATTTCCTGAAGAAAATCTTTATACACTTTGTACAGTCTTGCAGAGTTTGTTACCTGGAGATGTACCTGTATTATTTATACCTGGAGATGTACCTGTATTATTTTCTGTGGATGACGTCCTCCCTACCCCAAAAAAAATCACTGAGATCCATCCTGTCTGCAATGTTTCAGGCTACCCATCTCTATAGTACTGATAAGTGTCTTGGAATCCATAATGTACCCTAAGAATGAAGCCCCCCACCCCCACCCCCCAAACAAGGTAAATGAGGGCTGTCATCTTTATGAGACATTTTTCTCAAACATCAAATCACTTCAGATATAGTTGTATGGATGAAAATAACAGTCAAAATATTTAATATTGTCACACAGAAAAACGATATTTTCATTGGTGTACCACCATACAAATAAGTGAAAAGTGGTTCGGTGTTTCACAGACAATGACTATTAATTATACTTTAGTACACACCCTTATCCAATCGTCCAATATCAATACAACCTTTGTTTGAATGGTTCTTTGGATTCTAAACTGAATCTGGACCAGTAGCTGAATCCTCCAAGGCATAATTGTATTGAGAAACCTGACTGGTTGAAACTTGTTTAAATCTACTTACTCAACAGCTTGGTAATTTGACTATCTACAACATGTGAACGGAATATTTTTCTTAATTCTTCATTTAGATCAGTTTTTAATTTATTTTCTACATAAAATCGATTCTGAAAGACAAAAATACAAAACGATGAGAGAGAGAGAGAGAGAGAGAGAGAGAGTAACTTTCACTTGTCACAAATTAGGTAAATTTCTGGACTAACATCTGGTAGAGCTTTATTTCTATAATGCAGTTGTATGTAAGGGTCTTTAGCAGTGGGAGGAAACTGGAGGACCCAGAGCAAACCTGTGAGGATAGGCAGGTGACCTTACTCCTTGTCACATACAAACGTGAAAGCAAAACCAAAGCACTTGATGCAGTGACAGACCTTATGATCTAAAGTTTACACATTAGACCATTCGGCAACCCCACCCCTCAAAATAAGCTATAATAACAACTTCATCTTCATCCGTAATCTTAATGGATTCTCGTGGACTGTATTGGACTCCGTTAACTCACCATATAATTAAATATAGGAACTATCCCAGCTAAAGCTTGCAAATATTGGTTCATTGTAAAAGCGAATGTTTCTACAAAATGACGGGAATCTTGCATCTGAAAATAAAACAATATCTTAAAATTTCTAAAAAGTCAGTGAGATGGAGATGTGTTGTCATTTGGTGATACATGTATGTGTACCACATTGTGTTAGTTTTCAGTCACTTGATAAATCCAATAATACTGTACATTATTATTAAGTTCACAGTATAGATGGCAGCTTTGTCTTGACATTTGAATAATATATTGACAATTGGTGCCCCATGTTTTTCTCAAAAGCTAGGTTATTGTAAAGGACTTTAATTTTATAAACTTAATTACTCTTGAATGAATTTTCATTCATTTCAACAGTCACATGCTACAACAAAATACATTTACCAGTACGTGTATTTATCTGTCAAATACAGGCACCAGAAAAATTGGACCTAACATTGTCATTGCGATGGTTTTTTCACACAAAAACTACAAAAAACAAACATTTTCTGTATGTTGATGCCAAGATTTGTTGGCTTTTTTTCTAAGCTTCTTTGTGCAGACAACCGTACATATGGTGACATTTTTACACTTACACTGTTAGAGAGTTGTTCAGCCAAATGACAGACATGTTGTTCTATGTGGTTCAGTAAATCTTTGTATAATCTCTCGGAAAATTGTTTACACACACACTTATATACACAGCTGAAAAAATAAATACACCCTATTTAGTTTTATGAAAATAACAAAAATAAATACACTTTATTTAGTTTTATGAAAACAACAAAAATAAATACACCCTATTTAGTTTTATGAAAACAACAAAAATAAATACACTTTATATAGTTTTATGAAAATAACAAAAATACATAAACTTATTGTAGTTTTGTGAAAATAACAAAAAATAAATATAGTTTTATGAAAACAACAAAAATAAATATATTTTATTTATTATATGGTTTTATTTATATAAAAAAAAAGACAAATAAATATATGGCGTATATCTTTTTTTTATGGTTTTAAGAATAAACAAAAATAAATATATTTTTTTATATGGTTTTAGATTTATAAAAAAAAAAAAAAAAAAAAAAATAAATGACAAATAAATAAATGTTATTTTTATAAGGTTTTATGAAAAAACAAAAGTGGACAGTTAAAAAATTCCTACTCATCAACAGCAATACAATCAGACTTTAAGTGGAATGGGGAGGTGGTTTATTCATAATGTTAAAAATAAAACAAAAAAAACAAAACACATAATAAGTGATGGGCAAGCTCTATATTCATACTAAACTTAAGCTGCTTGTCTACAGTTAGCTCCACTTGAGAACAGGCTCTAAGCTAGTTGACCGACATTTTGAGTCCTAAATCAACGATTTGAGTCGAAGTTTGAAAAGTACATGTATTTATCCCACTTTCATGTCATTCAATTTAATTCAAATTGCACGCATTAGACCATTCTTCCATCCAGTCAGCCTAAAAACATGAATATTTGATATTATCCTCACTCACCTATACATTTGTTCATAAGATATAGAAATATATCCTCCTGGTTTTAGAGTAAGAAGTTGGTCAATAGCTCCCTGAAGTTTTGGCCAATAATGCATTTCATAATCAGCTACAGTTAAAGACATCATCACTAAAAGCAAAAACAGATAATTAAAATAATCATACAGAAATTCATGTTTACAAAAAGGCCGACCATAAAATACTTGTGCCAAATTGTGGAGTCACCCTTCTACATGATCTGTAGAATCAGATTTTCTTATGGTGTAGCCAAGTGTTAATTTAACAGTGAGTTTAAGAGTAACGCCTATGCATGTCATATTTAAATCTATATGTAACTTACTTCTAGGAAATCTATTTATCACAGTTCATGGATTCATATTTTTGGGGGGAATTATCTGACATTAATTTCGATAATCTGAAAATCTATTTTTAAAGTTCATGAATTAATCTTTGGTAATAATAGCATGGTACAGGTATCATGCTAATTGAATGAGAATGGGAATTATATTTTTGTTAAAGGGACAATACCACTCTTGCTGGCTTGACAGCTCCAGAAAATAAATAATATCCTTATCTAATTACTAGATGTTTTAGTGTCCTACCTGTTGTGCAAATTATCCATTACATCCTATTTTACTTGTCCAGAGGGTTCGAAAATATTTTTAAATCGAAGATACATTTGAAAAGGTTTACGTTAGACGTTTCAAACCATCATTAAGTTGAATTTTTTCAATTTTTTAAATAAGGTGTGTTAAGATGAAATTTGTATCATCAATTAATTGGAATATTGTAAAATAGTACAATTTGTTGACCAGAATAAAGATTGGGACATATTATTCAGTTACAACAAGAGTGGTATTGAGCCTTTAATGTTATCTGATGTTAAAATACTCAAAAAGCTCAGAACCTCTTAAGTTCCACAAAAAAAAAATGGGATTCAGTACATCCAGAAATTTTAATGTTAAAATGGATCTGAAATGAAATGAAATGGGGTTTAATGTCCCACTGTTCTGGTCCTATACTGGGCTAATGAAGACGGGCATATGCCATTAAAGTGTGCTATGAGTAAAATTTTGCCCGGGCAGCGGCATTATCGCCTACTCTTGTATCAAATTCCAACTGCCAGGGGATCTTTTACGTGCATTCCAATATATACAGGGGACCTCGGTTTTTTGTCTCATCCAAAAAACTAGACAGCTGTCCTTGTCAGGCCCTCCGTCCTGCACCACTGAAAATGGATCTGAAAATCAAACTGATTCTAAATATGTATTCAACATTAATTAATTTCAATTTCTTTGAAAAGTGTTTCAATTCAATTCATTCCCACAACTTAGACGAAAATATTACGACATCGGTCTAGTTTTACTGTTCTTTCTGACTAGGCCTAATATAAAAAAGTGAAACTGGATATTTTTTTCCCCTATCAATGAATCCGACTTACCCATACTTCCTGGTCGTAACAATGGCGCGGAATTCTTCTCCGGTGGATCGACGACTCCAGATTCCACGGATTCAGGCTCCATGGCCTCTACTGATTCATCCATTTCTTAAAAAATTTCTTTAAATTCGTCAATATTTACATATTTCTGAGAGAAGTCAATTCATGATTTTCTGCGCAGCGACTCGTTTATGGTATGGTCAAAAATTACGACATCAATTGAAGGAGTCAATTATGTCGTAAATAAATTAATTATCTGAAGTTGCTAATTATTGTCACAGTGAGAAACATCATAAGATCTAAATCATCATGATTTTTTAAATTTGCTTATTTTTGACAAAACATTTCATCACGGTCCAGAAAATGGAATTCGCACTTTTCTACAAAGGGAGACAAATCCAAATAACAAAATATGTTTAATTATTCTCTTCACGTAAACAAATGCAAATTGTTATCATTCTGGACTCTGATGTCGTTTTAGATAAATATTAGTTTTAATTTCACATCCTATATAAAACCGTTACATATCTGACTCTGTAACTACATAAGTAAAACAAACATTTTTGATAAGAAATACGACACAGTCATTTTTGCAGTTATCTCCCTTTAATTACTTGATTAATTAACTTTATTGCCATCGATAAATTATGAGAGAGATAAATGGGGTTTAATATCGACTAAAGAAACTCTGTCATTTCGGAACTAATATATGAACCATTTTTATTTCAGTAGTTTGTGGTGTTGGACTATAGGTTTTTAGTTAGTGTTTAGAAGTGGGAGAGAGAGAGAGAGACAGAGAGAGAGATGGGGTTTAACGTCCACTCGACTCGACATAAACTAAGTCATTTCGGGACTAACATATGATTCAATTTTATTTCAATAATTTTCTTGCTCGTAGGGGTCTTTAGCAGCGGGAGTACACCGGAGGACCCGGGGAAAACCCACAATGTTGGACAGGCGACCCTACTCCTTGCCACGTACAAGTGGGCCGGGAATCGAAACCAGACTCAATGTCAATGACAGACCTTCTGATCCAACGTGCACAAGTTAACCATTCGACCACTCAACCCCCTGACTCAGTTACAGATCTAAACGGAATGCAACTATAATAAGCTTAATTGTTGAATATTGCAAGCTTGGGGCTAATTTTTGCCTGATATTCCAACTGTGCTTCAGACATGTTATTTGTTTTTGAAGCCTTACAAGATCAATACAATATTAATATTACTACCCAATAGAAGGATAGCAGTTGAAAGTTTTTCTTCCTTATGGAATGATCTCTCAAGGAGATTGGTACTAGTTAAGAAAGAGAGAGAGAGAGAGAGAGAGAGAGAGAGAGAGAGAGGGATTAACATCCACTCAACACAAACTAGGTCATTTCGGGACTACTAACATATGGTTTAATTTTATTTCCATAATTCGCTTTCGTTTATGGGTCTTTAGCAGTGAGAGGAAACCGGAGAAAACCCACGTAAAATACAACCAGGGATTCGAAACCATGCCAGTTGACTCAATGACAGGCCTTACGATACAGCGCGCACATGCCAACCATTCGGCCATAGAACCCCCTGTACTAATTAAGGTAAAAAGTCTATTGCAGGTCCTTGATTCTGGTCATATCAGCCCTGTTGACAATACTGTCATGCCCATAACAAGGCAAATCTATTTAATAAGCCTTCATTTCAATCTGCTTAAAATCAAATAAAATAATAAACAAATATATATGAAAAATCAATGCATTTATTGCACAATAAAATGTGGAATAATGATCAAGAAAAAAAATCCTAATTACTCATTTTTTTAAATTGATACTCTAGGCTATAATGATGTAGGTAATATATTACATAAAGTTATATAATAAAAGATAAATAGGACATGTTATATAATGATGTATAAATGTTAGATCTATTTGATAAGGTCAACTTTAAGTTTGGTCAAAGGTCACACGATGTATACAGAGCTAGCGCTAATCCAAAGCCTAACCTGGACCTACGACCTAGCTCTAACGCTTACCCTAACTCTAACCTACAATCTCGCTAACAATCTTATTTACATCTCAGCGACCTTGATGAAAATTGAGTTGGCCTTAACAAATAGATCTAGTCATGAATAAATGCAATAATGTCATTTTCTTTAAAGTGGAGGTAATTTCAGTTAGGGCTGGCAAAAAGCATCCATCCTGACTAAATTATGCAATGAAAATTATTTGTTCTACAAAATAGAAAACCTTTTGTCAATTTATAATTATTCGACTTAAAGGCCAAACCAAATAAATTTCTAATCCTTCGGGATCTTGATAGATAAATACTTGTGGAGCTAAAATCTCTCGAAAACAGCAAACAAGTACTTTTTGCTTAGAAATTATTTTTTTCTCTCCACAAAACTAGAAGCAAAATTTTAACAAAAAGTTGAAATTGGCTTGGCCTAAGATAGGGTACAGAGAGATAAAAGAGACAGACAAATGGTGTTTAACATCCACTCGACACAAACTAGGTCATTTCGGGACTAACATATGGTTCAATTTTATTTCAATAATTCACGTTGTGGTCTTTAACAGTGAGAGGAAATGGGAGAAAACCCACGAGGCTCTACTCCTTGTCACTTGACTCAATGACAGACGTTATAATCCAACACGCATGCGTTAACCATTCGGCCAACCAACCCCGCGTATAGAGAGATAAAGAGACTTGTTTGTCCAATACGGTTCATAAACAACGACAGTTGAATTTTGAAAAAAATTAAATTTAAGTGTCATTTGTTTTTGTTTCCCTACTACTACTTGTTAGTTGTGTTTTACGTCCGCTTCCACCGAGGTGATATCGCAGACAAAACTTAATGCCCTTAAATTCTAAAAAAATCAACATCTGAGATGCTAAATAACCATGCCCAATGGAAGTTTCAATAAAATTCATAACCAAGATGTTTTGAATAATAATATGTTTTCAAATAATTACACAGTATATCATACAATGAATTTAAATAAATAAATGTATTTATAGCTGTGGCTGACAATCATTTAACTCAATCCATTTATCAAGCTGTAAATGTCAACATGCAAGTGTAGAATATAGATTTATTTAATAAGCTAAAAATAACTTAAAATTTAACTCACAAGTGACAAATTTTGATAAACAATAATGAAATGAATCTTCATAACCTAATAAGCTAAAAAATAAAAACATAGATTATACTGTAATCCAGGTATCATTTAATCTTGTGTATCTAGCACTAATTTCTTTCACATTTATTCAATATCAAATCCTTGTTTAAAAATTCGTAAAAATCATTTAAAATCACCAAAATTCACACAATTTGTACTTGTGTCCAGTTTAAAGCTAACCATTCAATTTTGATGATGAGTGTCCAATTTACAAACGTTTAATTTCTCGATCACTGTTTAAAAAATAAACAACCCAATTGATTATTGATGTCTAATGATTAATTTTTAAACAATGGTCAGGAAATGAAATACTTGTAAATTGGACACTCATTATCAAAATTAATCAGTCAGTTTAAACTAGACACAAAAACAAATTTGATGAGTTTGAGTGATTTTTACGAATTTTTAAACAAAGAACTGATATTAAACGAATGTGAAAGAAATTAATGCTAGATACACAAGACTGAATGATGTCTGGATTACAGTGTTAACTGCCAAGAGTAGTAACTTCATAATTCATTGCACAGACCCACATCCACAACACCAGAGTAATGCACATATGATCAAAACATAACAAAATTGTCATTATAAAAATCATCAACACAGTATGAAAAAATTCTGTTTAATAAAAATTATAGAAATTCTTTATTATTTTTGTTGAAAGTTTAAAATGATGAAGTTCGCAAAATTCCTCATATGAATAATATTGCTTAGGTATTAAGATCTACCGATAGTTAATTTCTCCATTACTAATTAATTGTATAATATTTTGTAAGTTAAGGTTAACAAAATTAGCTAGGTTGTCAAAACAGAATGTAAAATATATGAGTAATGATTTTATCAAAAATTATGCAAATATGACTTGAGACAAAGAAATAAAATGAGTAAATATGAGTATAATGTAATAATATCTAAAGTGTATAAGGATGTATAATATACGAAGGCCTCCACTAGGCCTACAAGGAATATATAGAGAATATAGGATAACATGATAAAAACATAGATGGGGGCTGACTACGAGACCCCTATTCACCCACCACTAGCCAAGTCATCTACTCTAGCACTAAAAACATTTGGAACCATGGTGGCTAGGCGGGTAAGACGTTGGCTCGCTAACCTGGAGGTCGGGTGTTCGATCCCTGCATTGGATCGAGAAAATTCCTCCAGATTTTCAGGCGTGGTTCCCACTTGTCAGTGGAACAGAACAGAGGGCCTGGCAAGGGACAATGTATAGTCTTTCGGATGGGACAAAAAAAAACAGGTCCTGTGTACACATAGGCATACACGTAAAAGATCCTGTGGCAGTTGGAATTCGATTAGAGTCACTGTCCGGGCAAAAATCCCCCTCATAGCACACTGTATGGCATATGCTCGTCTTCATTAGCCCAGTCAGGAGCAGAACATTATTAACAAATCCTGCAGAGCAAGTTTTACAAACATTCACTATGAACTTTGGTCCAAGTTTTAGCAGTAAAGATATGACTAGTTCAAAATTTAAAATCCAAAAATTTTTGAATTTATTTGGGTTCTTTCTATGCCTCATGAACAATCTCACCAAGTTTTAAAAAAATTCTATCTTCTATTGTGATCATAAGATTTCATAAATTTGACTATAAACAGGGGGGGTAACTCTTGTGGTTTGTGATCTAGGATAGTGCTTCCCTTCATGGTTCAAGATAGCCAATCTCACCAAGTTATATACAATTCTATCAATACTCAATCCTGATCACACTCATAAACTTAAATATGAAAATAAACACCAAAATTTGCAAATTTCGACAAGTTTCTTTCTTATGACCAAATGAAGCATCCCTGCAAATTTGAGAAAAATCTAACAAGAGCTCTGACCTGCAGAGTGTTCACAAGCAATTGTGAATGGACAACAGATGCAGGTGACAACACTATACGTTCACATTAAATGTGGGTATATATAAAAATGACTGACAATATAAAATGTCTGGACTAGTATTACTGATTCTTTTATATCCAATGAGATTCTATGTTATCTAAATTAATAAAATCACCATCAAAATCACCATCAAC